TCCACAGCTGTCCCACTGGTATCCCTTTAGATTCTGAGCTCAATTCAACACCTTTATTACCTACGAATCCCTCACAGATTAAGGTCTATATACTTTAGTGCGGTCCTTGTGTTTTAATCTCTAGCTAAGGTCAGCTGAGATTAAGCTGACCTTAAACATTCTCATTTGGGTCACAGAATTTGATATGGATGTATTTTCCCACTTCAGTCCAGCAAAGCTGGAATGCATTATGTTTCAAGCCATAAGGTAAAAATCTAGTTCACTGAGCTTGCTGGGGAAGGAACTGACCTTAAGTGAGCAAGTATGAAGCCCTTTTTTCCTTTTGTCAGTTGGAGTCTATCTCAGCAATGCTATCACAGTAACTCCTTGATGTGGCTTCACAGATCATACTTTTAATAATGAAGTGCTCCTAAAGCTTAGTTATACTGCATAACTTAAAATTGATGTGTGGCATTCATGTCACAAAGGTAGACTGCTACTAAAAGTAACAGGAGATACTGGTCAGTACAGGTATGCTTTTAGACTAGCTCTGAAATATGGAACGCGTGTTTTGGGGGAAAACCAACAAGGCGTTTGCAGACTGAATGGGATTATCTCTTGTTCATCTGAGTAAGCACAAAAGTAATGAACATTGGACCCTTAGATGGCAATCACATTTTAGATTTCACCTTTCTCCATGTAATGCTTAGTAATTAGTATTCACATGGTAAGTCTTCACATAGCTATTTATGTGCTTGTTTGTGCTTGAGTACGGACACCAATGCTTGTCTGAGGATTCCTCAGTAGAGGACTGTGCAGAACTGCAACTTTCTGAAGATTCCTTAAACCCTTACACAACCTGTGCTCATAACTGCCTTATAATGTTGTCTCTGCATAAATGCATCTTTCATCTGACATCTTTTTCAGCTGAACTGAAGTTGATGGTTTGGTTTCTTGGTTCACAGAGTGAGCTCTGTTCTTAAGAAAACCAGAAAACTGACAAAACCTAAGCCCAGACAAACAGTTAAAAAGTTGTGGTTTTTTAGAAGTGGAGAAAATGAAACGATTTCCAGAAAACAAATAGCACAAAGTGACAGCTCAGGCTTAGCTGCACAACTGTAAAAGAAGAATGTGACTTTATGCAGAATCTGACTAAGAATTTACGATATGGACCACTGATCTCATCTTTTGTCAATTATCTCTGTAAACCTGTGAGATTCCTTGGGAGATAGTTAGTCAAATGAGGAGCCTAGATGAATCAGTGGATATAATTTATTTAGACTTTAAAAAGGCTTTTGATGATAAAGTCCTTAGCAAGAGGCTATTAAGGAAAGTTAGTAACCATATGGTGAAAGATAAAGTCCTGCCATGGATTAAAAAGTGGTTAAGAGATAAGATAAAAAGACTGGAAATAAATGGATAATTCTCCCTGGAAAGAGGTTAATAGCAAGGTGCCCCTTCATTACTGCACCTAGCAATCGATAATCGTGGTTCACCTGCTTTTGCAGATCATTAATAGTAAGGTACATAGTTTGCAGATAAAAATATTCAGACTGATCTGAGTACTGAATAGCACCAGGTCGGAAGTTAAAAAGCATTTGGCCAACTCAAAGGTAGATGAAATTTGCCAAAGATAGTAAATGCAAAGCAAAGCCTGTTGGAAAGAAGGGTTCAAATTACTTTTAGATCCTTCTACGTCCCCGGTGACATGCAGTGTGTATGGACACTTATTGAAGGCAACTGTTAATGTGCACTGTAAAGAAGGGAAGACCAATGGATACAGTGGTTCCATTGTGTGGTGCTCCCAAAACCAAAGCCGTTTATGGCAGTGAACAACTTCACACTGGCAGAGCCCATTAAGGTCTGTTGGGAATAGGGACAGGGCAATGAACAATCTGAGCAGAGATCATCAGGAATGATGGGCTGTTGGGATTTATCAGAAAATATGAACACATCAAGAGAGAGGTTTGATATAGAGTTGTACCAGGACTGGTGAACTTCTGTGGGAGAGGTTTCTGAAGGACAGAATGCAATAGAGATTTAAAGAAAGGGAATTAAATTTTTTGTCAAAATGGAAGTGCGTGTTCAAGACACATTATCACAACTCGATAGTCAGGGTCAATGCTTAGCCATAGATCTTGGAACAAATCCTTGCTCTGTCCAGCATCATGAGTATTCCTGGAGCTAAGATGAGTGCCCTGCCCACTGGGCTATCAAGTTGATGTCTCTCAGGCATCATAAATACTTCCAAGCGAATTACCCAACAGAAGGGAATATGAGACTCTTTCCAGGGACATCCAAATACAAAGAGCATCCAAAACTGGGACCTATCCATCATCAGAAAGTAGGGATCCATATTCACGTTTCTGCTCTCTTTGCTTCAGAGCAGCAGTACGAATTTGGCTGCTCTTCAATTCACGCAAGTGCTCTGATTATTACTGAACTTCTGCTTTTGGTGTGCAAATAATTATATGCATTTTTTGTATCTGACTACTTGAAATCATACACATTTTTGCAAAGATGAGCAAAACACTAACTGTACAGCTCTTGTCTTTCAGTGTATTATCTGACCTTACAAACCAGACAAGGAGAGGAAAATTTCCCCCTGCCCATCAGTATAGTTCCATACAGCCTGATGCATTAAACCAGTTTGCGTTTTCCCTAAAAATTTAGTCTTTCCCTAAAAATTCAGCACTGTGAGAGGTTACTGCTCCAACTGTTACCTACTCAGTAATGCAGCAGTTATCTGCAGTAGTTACCTAGCTCTTGCCAGTTTCAGCCTAGTAGATTCAATATTTTTAATGCTTTCGTATTAACATAGTTATAAGCAGCAGAGTAAGCAAAGACAGGGGACTTAATACACATAAGATTACAATTGTTTCTTGATTCCTCAAGCAAAAGCTGGTTACACTGGGGTTGTGTTGAAGACCTTAAAGGTCTCGGGGGAAAGGATCTTATACTCAGGCTGTTATTGGAAAGAAGTGCATAAATAGTTTGCAGTTGCTATGTGGGATAATGGATTGTACTACTAACCACAAAGTATGAATACACTAGAAGAGAATTCAACTGTAGATTTAAACAGCAATAAATCTAAATACAGTATATACCCTAAAACGTCACACGTGATGATACAGAGGGACATACCCAGTGTCTGCATCAGATGCTGAAGTGTTCCGTGAAGGGGAAAAGTAGCTGTTCTCTTTGTCTGCTCTTCATGCAAACATCTCTGATTTTCTGTGCCCATCTTCTGTAATTGGACAGCGCTCACTGAGCTGACCCAAAAGGTTCACTGAGTTCTTCAACTATCAGCCACTGAATCTAACTTCAGAAGGCATTAAAGTAGTGAGCGCACTCAGGGAAAGAGATGGGAAATAGCATGTGTTCATCACTTACCTGAGTTTTGCCAAAGCTTGTCAAAAACACACATAGATTCTGCATGTTGTTCTAAATAAAATAGATTTCCTGCCTCCTATGTTAATGTCAGTCTAGAATTTTATCTGGAAAATACGTGCTGGAAATTTTAGTGAAAAGACTTTGTAATAGTGTTCTGCAGCATTAATGCCAAGAAATCACTCACAATGGGAAGGAAAATACAGAAACTTACTTAGTAACAAAACATTTTAAGCCCCAAAACTTACCATATGAGAACTTGAAATGTAGTTGTTAGTTCTTGTCTACCCAGAAGAGTTCATCTACACTCCGTACGCATTGCTGTGTACAGTTTTCTGTTGCAGTGCTGGGTAGTTTACCTGGTCTGAGTTTAGACTGACTTGAGTAGAGGCAAACGCTTTTATACATGACAAAAGCCACAGCTGTCAGTCAATTCACAGGGTCTTCTGACAGAAACATTCCTGTGCATTTCACTGCCACAGCGCTGTAACTTCACCCTTTTAGAGCACCTTTATATAAAAAGCTCTCAAGACTGCAATTCTTCATTCTCAGACTTAAATCAGTTGGCATGCAAGAAACAAAACATCCAGCTGGATCAGTGTCCCCAACGTGATGCAAACTGAAAACGTTTGTTCACTCAGTTACATGATTTAGAGGCACAGCTAGCACAGGAGAGAGCCCTAGGGTCGTTTTAAACCAAGCTGTCTTTTGAAGTCAATGTGACTTGCTAAAACCACTATGGAAATACTTTGTAATGCAGATTTGATTATGCCATAATGAAGGATAGCTACAACCTGTGGAAACACCTGTAGCCCCTCAGAGACAGCAGGAAGAAAACACTGCAAAAGGCTGATTCCACATCTACTGTCATACACTTGGGAGACCATCAGGTCTCAGGAGGGAGAAGGGAGCATCAAGGAGGAAGGCATCAATATAATTCTAAACTGAGAATCCTCCAATCACCCATGGAATCTACCAGGTTCACAGAGCCATCAGCTCAGGAGTGTGTTTCCTGAACAAAACATGCTAACAACGTATCCTTACAGGGTATCATGCTACAGCTTATCTCACCCATCTGATAGACCTGAAGCAGCCCATTCTGAGAGTTCCTGGCATCAAGCTGACACTTGTGGAAGACAGACTTGTTGCCAGAGAGCTGGATCCCCTTCCTACCTGTATGCTTGCTAAAACATAAAGCACAGCACTGCCAACACAGTCCTGACAAGCCTGAAGGAGGGCTTGCTGTGCCACAGGGCTGTAGAATAACCTAATTCTGTGCAATACTGGAAGATGCCCCGTTCTGTAGATGCAACCCCTCCCCAGAAGTCAATGTTAAGAAGTAGAGAGTTAAAGTTATTCCAATGAAAAAAGAGGCAATCTTGCGTGTAGCAGTTCTAGTACTTGCCAGCCTTACAAAAAAACTTAACCCTGTGTGCTTGAACACTCATCTTCATGTCTGGTTCACATCCTGTCCACCAATTCTTATCACGCACATCTAACACACTTTATTTTTCACAAGGTATTAAAAAGCTGGGAAAAACATTTTGAATGGTTGGGTTTTAAAGCAGCATAGGCTGATTCCCAGTATTGAGGTTACAATAGATACTGCTGCACATCTTGCATAGAAACAATTTTTATCACCAAATGTATTGTTTCTGACCACTGAAGAACTATGTCACCCCTGTGGCTCCATCAGGTGTACAGATCAGAAGGGCTGAGCACACACGGTTTTCTGCTCAAGTCAGTAACCCACCAGAGGAATGTTTCACAAGTTTCAGTAATTGTGCCAAATAATGGAACAAATGAAAATTACATGGGTGGTGTTTGTTTTATCGGGGTTCTTGGAAGGAGATCTCACAGCAATCCCATAGATAATGCAGCATTTTCAAGATCAATGAATAGTACAGTTACTTTTTCTCCATTTCTGCTTCATATACGACAAATCTTTAACAAATCTCGTTTCATGGGATTTTTACATTCTCTATCCTAACAAAACTATTTCCCAATTTCAGAATTCCATAAATGGAATTTAATTGGACAAACATATTTTAAAATTACTTCACTCAGTTCAAGTGTTCACAGGTACCTCTATTTTTCATCAAGAATTAACTCCCAAATGGTTCAGGTTTTACGTTCAGAGACAGCTGTAGTCAAGAGTTTGAGCATTCTGAGTCCTGGTTGTGTATTTAAAATTCTCAGCTAACAAGCAGGAGAGAGGCTCTAGGAATGGTTACAGATGTCTGATTTTACAAGGTTCGGGGTTGTTGGAGGGTTTTTTTTTTGCTGAAGTGCTTTAGTCTAATGTTATTTATTGTTTATGGAAGTTGTTTGTCATTTAAGACATGGAGTGACCACTCCCCCCGAAAGAAAGAATCGAGTTACAATCCATTATTTCATTTTTGATTGTTTTTCTTTGTAATAGGTGGGAAAGTGGATCCTGGATGAAAGTCCTGCCCAAGACAAGACTCCAAGCTGAAGACTCCAATTATCTATAAATCACTTGTATTTCCTGCAGAGAAAAAGCAGGAAAGAGAGAGACAGGAAAACAGAGACAGAGGATTCGGCAAAGTGAAATATTCGATACCTGTCCTAAACCAAATTTCTCTCAAAAGCAACCAGGAGTTATTTCTGAGATATCTCAAAACCAAGCTCAGAGGAATCTTGCTGCTGTTGTTTTTGGCTTAATATTGAAATAAAATAACTTTCTTTTACTTTTTTCATTAGTATAAAATGTGTAACATCTTGCGTATTTTGGAGATGATGGCACTATATATTCTGAATTATTAAAGGTTTCTATGCAGCTTACATTCTCACAGACCAGAAGATGTGACTGCTGATGAGTTATCTTTTCCCAAGATTTTTAGAACCAGTTCTATTATTTGAACAGAGAAACACGAGCACAGTGACTGTACAAACTGACTGTGATACTACTCTCGAGTATCCACCAAATGCTCCTGAAGCACAACTCACACTGAAACCAGCAATGAACAAAATTCATGCCAAACACTGTTTGCACAGTATGACTCCTTCCAAAGTGTAACACCACACAACATCAAGTAACTTCATTCCTGATTTAAACCATTTTCAAAGAAATTATATTCAAGAAACATTATGCATGTTTTAATTTGCATAGTGCAGTTTGCACTGAAACGTAATGAAACCTAAAAGAGTTCACTTTCCTTCGAACATTCTTTTAGAACATGGAATTGCTGTAACAAATTAGAGGACAAATTGGTTTTGGCACCCGCTTGAAAAAAAAGAAAGAGAAAAGATGAAAAGCTTTTAAAGTGATGATACAGAGGAAAGAAATACACTACATCAGCCAAAACGAGTTTGCTATCAGCTTTAAAGCTTCTGAAGTTGTATTTCCAGTAGATAAAAATGTTATCACCTTTTTCCAGTGCTGATGTGCTTATTTTCCTATTAAGTTACTCAGTAATTAGAAACAAAGTTTGTCTGACACATTGTAATCTGTTTATACAATATATCTGAAACTTCTCCAACAGAAATGAAAACAGGCTTTAACTAAAGATGCTAAAGATGCAAGGATCCAAAATACAGAAACAAATTTAAAAATTCAGATTGCCTTTACAAACCAGTGACTGCTCTTAAAGTTCAATTAACAAACACAATTTAGTCCCACAATACACCATAGGAAACCAGCAGATTTTTCTACATTGACCCAATGGGTTTGTTCTTAACCTTCTCTTTATGAAAATAAGTCTTAAAGGTTAGTAGGAAAAATATGCCCTCTTGCAATATTGTTCAAGGGTGTATTCAAGCATCACAGAAGTTAGCAGAGATCTGTTCCAGTGTTGTAACAACCTGGTAGTATTAGAAGTCCTCCAGGAACTGAAAAGGAGTCCCTTGGGCACACAGGGTAATTCAAGAGAGAAAACACTTTTATTTTCTGATTGAGACACACAGGTATGCACAGTAACTTCCTCTGAAGTACATCAAATGCCACTGAAATGTACTTGAGAAATACTGATTTTGCACTGAAAAGAAACCCCAACAGCTCTGTAAGAAAACACTGGATTTAAAGAGAAGTGGCAAAGCCAGTCCCAGCAGATTTAATTTGCTTTTCTATTATTCTGTGGTTTTTCAGATATTACAGGACTAAGAATCCGTTTCCTTTATGACAGATTCAAGGCAGCCTTTTAGTAGTTTTTCGTCTCTACACTCAAGTTGGGTAGGGCAGAATAAAACTGATTTTAAGTAAAATCCCTCCTTTGGAGAGAAAGCCATGAACTTCCCTGCCAGAACAAACGAACACAACTTACCTTGGTGTATTTGATTTCAAGGTTGAGAGTGGGAGAAGGCAGCAGATGCAGAGATGCCATCAGAGCTGCAGGATCTGCCTTCACCTCCCCTGGCATCTCAATTTTACTGGAAGTCATAGTCTCGGGGGGGGGTTTATATAGTACCACCGAGCCCCCCGCTCTGATCTGATGTGTTTTGGGTTGGTGCCCCCACCCCCCCCTCCAAAGACCGGCGCTGAAGATGTTGCTCTCCTCCTCTGTATATAGGCAGGTGTCAAGCCGGGTCTCTTCTTATTGGACATGAGGGCAGAGGCAGGGGGGCAGGTCCGTCCTACCTAGTGCAGAGCGGCGCAGCCGCGGCGCCCCGCAGCCCCCGCGTGGGGATTCCCCCGCCGCCCGCGGGGAGAGGCGCTCAGGGAGCGGGCCTGGGGAACCCGGTCAGCGCGAGAGGGGAGCGGGGGCCGCCAAAACCCCTGCGTCCCCCCCCCCCCAACTGCTGCGTGCCGGCGGGGAGGCGCCGCGTCCGGGGGAGGCCAGACCCGGCCCCGCGCCGCCCCGACCTGGGCATCCCGTGAGGAGCCCTCGCCGCGGGGGAGCCTGGACAACACTCGGGCAGCACTAGGGGGGCCCGAGGGCGAGGGGAGAGACCCGGCAGTGACACTGCCTCCCAGCGCGGCCCCGGGCGCGGAGCCGCTGCACAGCCGGCGGGGCCGGACCGGGCCGGGCTGCCCCTCACAGGTTCCAGCCCGAGGAGCGGCGAGGGCACGGGCCCGGCGGGGCGAAGCCTCCGCCTGCGGACAGCGCGCCCGACCCCGCTCCCCGGCCAGCACCTGGCGGCGGCGCTGCCCCCCCCCCCCGTCCCCTCCAGCCGCGCCCACTGCTCCCCGGCGGCTCCGCTGCTTCGGCCGCAGCTGACACCGCAGCGCCCGCGCGTTCCCGCTGGCAGCCACGGCAGCGCGCACACCCCCCTGCCCCGCGCCAGCCCTACCTGCCCGCGGCGCCGCCATCCCCGTCCGCCTGCTGCCCCCTGCCGGCCGCGCCACCTCCGCCGCCCAACGCTACGGCAGGGGGCCCTCGCCTCGCGCCGGGCCGGGCCGCGGGGCTGCCCCCTCCGCGCGGTCCCGCCTGGCGCCTGCCCGCAGAGCGCGCTCCCGAGCCGGGCAGCCGAGAGCGCGGGACTCCTGCAGAGGGGGCGCCCGGGGGCACCTCCGCTTCCAGGCTCCTTTCGGGAAAGAACGCGACCAGGAGGTGGGAGCAGGGGCAGGGCCCGCGGCCCGGCTCAGGCGTTCTCGCCTCTTGAAAGTGCTTTGCAAAAGGAAGAGGCCCAGAGGGCAGAATCAGTTGCTCAAGCAACAGCCACCCGTTCCCAGCCATTATTTCTAGGGGGCCCTGGTAGGAGGAGGCCAACTGATGCAAGAGGCTGGGCACCGTCCTGCAGTGGGTTACTGCGGGTCAGCAGCCAAACACAAGCTGGAGCCACCGCTCGCTGTCTCGTGGCTGGAGCTTGTTCCCCGGCTGGGCTGAGGGACATCAGGAATTCACGGACAAAGCCCTGCACTCCCCCTGGTCAAAACTTCCTGACAGAAAGCACACAAAGCCCAGACCACTTTTGTTACTTTAGGCAAAATCAGTAAGATTCTGCTTATGGATGCAAACACTGCCAACATCATCACAGACAGATAAACAGGGAAAAGACACCAAAGTTAACAGCTGTCTAAAGCTGGCAAAACAGAGCAACAACAAATACACTGCATGACTTTCTTTTGACCCAGCCAAGAGTAAGCAACGGGAAAGGGCCATATTTTCATTTCGTTCAATATCGTTTGTTGATTCCATAGATATTCCTTGTTCTGTGTTTAACAAGCTTGTGGGCAACTGAAAAGTCTGTCCCAGCGTTCCCTGAGTGTTTGAACTGAAGCATGGGACAAAGGTTGCCCAGAAAGACAGCACAAGATACAGAGTGCCTTTTAAGTTCTTTGAGGGTTAAACACCCCTGTGTACCTCCAGCACAGTAATGAACGAGACTGCAGGTTTTACTCTCTCATTTTTCATCCTTTTTTTCCTTTTTCCCTGAGAGGAAATGGACCCACGGGCCCGTGTGTAATGCGACATTACAGACATTGACAGCAGAGCTGTCGAACTGTGACACTGGGGATGAGTGAGACTTTTAAACAGCAGAAATTCAATTTTTAATGGCACCCTGGCAACACAGACCCAGCACTTCATCACGAGGGTGACACCTTCTGAAAGCTCTTTTAAAATAAATCAGCCTGAGGATGTGCTTCTTTAAAAAATGACTGTGTTTCAACCAGATTCAGGAATGAGGAAACCCTGTAACAGCTTCATTACTGAATCAAGTCAGTAAGGTTCAGGAGATTTTGGTGAGAAGGGATTCCAGTGCATGTGGAGATGCAGTTCAAACCAACATAATCTGGAGCCGCTTAGTCAACCTCCATCAACTACTTGCTGTACAAACCACATTCCTCTTACATCTAAAAGCAATTCAGTTTGCAAAAACACTCAGAGCCGACTGTGGTTGGGCTATTCACTACCTACACCTCACTGGCCTTCCCCAGTGGCGAACAGCACTGCACTTACTGTTTGCAGGCTTCTGGTCTACAGCCAGCCCCAGGGGGCTGCCCAGGAGAACATGCCAGCCATGCTGTTGTGTCTTCCTGACATCAAGTGGCCAGCCACAGTTCCTCTTCCACCATCCTGGAAGACAATGATGGAGGCCTTAGCACAAAGACTACAAGTGAGTTCTCATTAAGTACAACAGTAACTGAACTGAACAGACTTAGGAGTGAGGTCTGTAACACTATGCTGGTCATACTGGGGTGTCCAGTTTGCTGAGCTGCTTCAGTGATTCAGCACTACTCTGCCTACTTTATGATAGCAAATCGAGTCATGGCTTCAGATCCTGCAAGTGAATGATATTTAGTGCAATTTCTTTGTGGGAGGGATGGCCACCCTTGGACATAAGGACAATAACTCAGCAATAACAATGAATACAGAAGTAAACTAATTGATTTGTGAAATTTAAAAAGTGAGTCCAACAACTGCCAAGAATAGAAAGAACAGGAACAACACCCCAGGTTCAGCCCGAGTTCTGCGGTCCCTTAACACTGATGTACAACAGAGAAACCACTTATTCTTATTGCACTCCTGTAGTACCTGGTTGGTTTTGGGGTTGTTTTGTTCTGTTTTGTTTGGGGTTTTTTTTGTGAATTGTTTATACTGTATCAACTGGCAATTGAGTCAAACTGGCTTTATTTTCACTCACTTGAATGGGTTTAATTAAACTCCTACTTAGACAGCAAATCAGGAAACAAGTTCAGTTTCAGATTGTAATGGCAAAGATATTGCTGCCTTCATACTTTGTGAGGAAATAGCTGTCAAAAAAAAATGAACAACCAAGCAATTGTTTCTTACTTTAGTATTATTTAGTATGTAAGTCAAGATCACAATCATTCTGGAAGAGTTTTATTCTTATATTTAGATCAATCTGAATGCAAAATATGAAGAAATACCTTTGTTTCACTCACAGGTCTCAGTATCTCAACTCACCCTCAGCAACTTTTATAGACAAGGACCTAGACATTGCTTATACAAACAATGTCTGATGGAAACAGGACCTTTGGTAGCTAGAGAGGGTGCAAAAGACACAGCTGTGATTTTGAAGACAATGCAGATGTAATCAAGGCATTCCTGCTCAGAGTACTGGTATTTTTCTGCCTAAAGGAAGTTGTAACACTAGAGAATTGGGTGAAACTATTTGGATCTCACATAGCTCTTCTGGGCAGAGAAGCTGTGCCAAAGTGTATTGTGATACAGCATGGAAATGGACAGAGCTCTTCATTCTTGCTACTTCAAATCTGTGATCTTTCTTATGCTCTGTAGTGAGCTCCTGACTCCAAACACTTTGTCACACACAGGAAGTGAATCACATAATTCTGTCAGACACTTCCAGTGATTCATTTCAAGATCAGCTTCAAAACCTGCCCTAAAATTATTTCTATCTGGCCCATAATTTCTTTTATGTATATTTCTCTCAGCTAGCCCCCTGCCATTTAGCAAGGATATCCCTCGGTCCTCATACAAATTCAGTGTCAATTGAGAGAGCCCGCTCTTCTGTACCCTTCGCCTCCTGCCTCACTAAGTGCCTGTTCCTATTTCTTATGTGCTTTAGAAACCACTTTTGGAAGAAACATCGGGACTGAAAAGAAACTTCCTCTAAGTTATTTTTCAGCTCAGATTTCCACTTACAAAATCTCAACTTCATTTTCTGCTATGGACAGTAAAAGCTTCAGCCTCAGGTGTCCAATTTTAATTGCCTGCTATTTTCATTACTGACCATGATGGCAGCAAATGCTCTTCAGGAGATACTTGTATTTTAATTTATCTGCAAACATAAATCACATATTATAGCACTTTTTCCCTCTAGGTTAATTGAATCAATTCTCTAAATGTCCCTAAGCCTGGTCATTTGAAAGAGGTTCACTGTTTGAAATCACTTAAGAATTATGGCCCTTGAATTGTGTGCAGGATGTTATCAGTCCTTGCTGCAGACAGATGTTTCATATATATAATGTAAAAATACGGTTACACACATAAGCAATCTTATATATAAAGCAACACCCCAATACTGTGATTATCCTATAAAATATTATTTCAGACATTTTTCAAATATCACAGTGAATTGATTGTCTCACTATTCTAAATCTTATTAATGATTAAGAATAAGTCTGGATATATTTTAAGTTCTAAAGAAACAAAAGAAAATCTACTTTTATTTTCCTTATTTCTACGTTACCTTTAACATAAAATTTTAATAAATGTTGATAACAAGAAACCCCATTTTTATTACTGAACATCCAGGAACAGCTAAAGAAGAAACCTTCATTTAACATAATTTTTCCTAAAAATGAGTCAAATGGATAAGTTTTTTAACCTGTGATATTGGCCATTTTATACCAGTAGAAGTGTTGATTGCTGCTATGGTTAATTCAGACCTAAATTAAAACTCAAACTTAAGGATTCAAGGAAGCCACAAATACTCCAGTGACAGTGATCAAGTGAATATGCTTGGAAAGACTGTCAGTGTTTGGCTCACTTTATACTTGGGTTGGTTTAAAAGGTTAATATTACAGGGTAAGTAGCCAGTTGAAATGCACCATGTCACTATGAGGCTGTTGTGCAGAAGGCTGGTTTTGCCATGTATGGAGTGAGCCAGAGGTACCACTCCTTTAGCCTGAGGCTTCCTGAGACCATCCAGCTCAACGCTGCTCCTTGGCTGGTCTCCACGCTTCACCAGTGACACACAGCAATACACAGCAACTCACAGCTGTGAGTGAGGTGGTTTAACCCAGCCTCTGCAAAACAGCATGTCTTCTCCTGCAGAGTATGCATGGCAGTGAGTGGCACTGTCTTGGAAGACGGCTGTAAAGAATGTGTGCCCTTAACTGAGGAGTTATGGGCAATATGCTCTTGGTTGGGGGGACTGTATTCTAAATTTAAATATATAAAAAAACCTTTCTATTTTGAATTTCTCTGCAATTTACCTGTTTGAATTTATTATTTGTAAAACACATCAAGCCTCAAATGGATTGACCTTCTGCTAATGTATATCACCTAATGAATGGATGCAATTAACTAATTCATATTGGAATATTGCACTTTCTAGATCACATTTATCATCGCTAAATGTGTGATTTAGTTTGCAGGTTTAAATTTTTTATTGTTACCCTTTAAACTAAAGAAATAAGTCTTATATTTAATTACCTGAACTTACATATTCAATTAATAGCTTCATTACCTTCATTAATATAGATACCACACAGAAGTAACAGAAGATTGCTGCCTGGGTCTGCTCCTAAGTACACCCTATAAAGGGTCTGCTGTGAACCCCAGAACAGGTTTTTTTGATTAAAAAATCTTAACTGGTGAGTTCTAAGGAACTGGAGCTGGCAATCCAATATCCTTATACATGAGCCTGAGCTAAATTTAGTATCGACATAGTATTTAGTATGTAAGAGGAAGCAAAGCTTATGTTCCTGGAAAGACACAGAATTTAAACGTTCAAATGTTTAAATTAGATGAAATGAAATTGAATGGAATTAAAAGAACGAAAACCATACAGACTGGCACCTCACCTACTAAAGGACAAGGGATGAGTGGAGCATGGAGGCAAAACAACTCTTGTAGGAGAGAGGGGACAGAGCACTAGGAACAACAGCTCTTACAGCAAATACTTCTTCAACAGAGACTCAAAACGTGACTAGATGGCATCCTTAGGGGGCTATGTCAGTGGGAGGTGGGTTGGTGAGATACAGGAAACCATCACTTTCTTGTAAACAAGTTTCAGAAGCACAAATCGGCTGTCCTGTTTAGCTACATCTGCTTGCCAAACACTGATACTTTACCCATCAGTGGAGTCAAATCTGTCATTATCTTTGGCTTTCACATTAAATTTCTTTTATTAGTTAAGTAGGTTCAGATCTCCTACGCTACAGGTAGCCATAAGTCTCACTACTGTAGGGAATCTGTGCCCTGTAGAAAGATGAAAGCTTTTGATAACCTATCCCACTTGGGTTAAGAAAACAATAGGTCTTCAATCACTGCAAAGCCTGTTGGATATACTTTGAGGTTTTCTCCACTCTGCAAAAACATATTTACTAAGATATCTTTTGCCTTTAATAGCAAAGCTGAATTTAAAATTTTTATCTCTATTTTGAGAACTTTTTGTAAGGAATTTGGAAAAGGAAGGAGCTATTTTAAAAAGAACATGCTGTCAATAATCCTCCCTTACATTTACTGCTTGTGTACATTAACTGTTAGAGAAAAGGGAATACACAGAGAAAAAAAACAGGGAATTGGCTGCACCAAAGCATTTGTCTGCACAAAACTGATCTATTCCTTAAAAGAGAATTCTTCTTGTACTGGAATTATCTTTTTCCAGATGCATTCAGACGTGCCCATAGTGTAACCTACCAGATAAGTTTATATTAGAGCCATAACCAGCACATTCAGAAGGAAGCAGGGTGTAGCCCAGCACGTAACACTGGTGCCCGCAACATCTGTACTGCACTTCTCTAACACACTGACCTTTTGCCAGCACTGACAGTCCTGTCCTGCAGCTCTCTGGTGTGGAATGCTATCTGTGCCCCACTATGCCAGCTTGGCTATCATGGAGATTACACTGGCTTGGAAGCTCTCAAGGCCCATGTTACACACCGACAATTTACTGTCCTCAGTTACATAACTGTAGGCAATATATATACACATGTAGTAACATCAGTTATGCACTGAGGCCCAATAATGTGCTCAGCCAATGAAGAACAAAGAAAAGTTTTGGCTCCTGCTTTAGAAAATGCCCAATTTAGTTCTCCCTGAAATGAGTGTCTGCAACAGTGGACTTCAAGAAGCTCTGAAATGGGCCTTAAAAGATCACTGGCAAAAAGCTTGGAACATACGTATGTGGTGTGGTTTTGATCTCATATTCATGATCTGAAGTGTTTTATTCTGACACTGAAATCACAGAGGAGAAAGAACAAAGAAATTCTCAAGAGGTCATCTTGTCTGCCTTCCAAGGTGTGCTCAGCTAGACCCGAGCTGCATGCTTGCCCCCATGAGCAGTTTTTCACCACAGGCTACAGCAGAGACAGAGGGATGATAAGAAAACACAAGAACTAAAGAAATAGGAGTGTTAATGTACTAAAAAAGCTTAGAACACTGAATTACAATGTGTTCAGATCTTCCTCACCTGTTTTTTTTTTTGAGTCCTCCAGCAGCAGCATCAGTCCATAAGCCATAGAACATCCTTTAAGGACCATGCAGCAGTTTCTGTATGAAAACATAAATTAGGTAAGGGCGTTTGACCAGGGATGTCAATTATAGTAGATGTACACATTCAGACTCTGCCCAATTCAACTAAAATCAGCAGATTTAAGCTTAAAAATAACTTGGCCCATATTATTACAATACAAAAAAATAAATGGTGTATTTATAGCCTTGGTCTCTCCAGCTGTGTTGGTTTAGGTTTTATTACATCAGTAATAACAATTTATGTGATACTCTGAATAATGTGCTATTAAAAATTCTGTACAGTATATACTGCTACCCATGGGATTTAAACTGTGGGAGCTATATGCATAATTCTCTACTTTGCTATTTCTATAGGAGTGAAGATTACTATAAAAATGGTTAGGTTATATACACTGTGTGAATTCCTGCTCTGCTTGAATACAGGCAAGAGAAGAAATAGTTCAGTCCAGAATGCCTTTGGGTAAGGGTCCGAAGGGTCTTAGTTTTGCAGTTTAAGGTTACACTGATCACATGTTCAAGCATGAACAATACCATCAGCATGCTTTTTGATGTATTTACAGGATGCCAATAGATTTGTGAGGCACTACCTCCCTTAACGGAATCCATTGGATGTTTCTACAGAGCTTTATCCGTGTGTCTTAATGATTTTATTCTTTACGTTAGTTCCTCTAATTTTGCTGGCATAGAAGTCACATTGACTGTTTTGTAGCACCCATGATCACCCTTGGAGGGCTCTTTTGAAACACCAGTGGATCACCAGCACGTTTCCTATGTTCCGTTTTGCTGGCATTAGAATCAGGTTCAGCAAAAAACCAACCCACTGGCACTAGCACTTCAGAAGCTGAACATTTGAATCCCTGGTGGAAACATTACACAGCTCCAGCAATTGGTTACTGTTTAACTTACCAATTTCTCTTGAAGTCTTTCTTACTGACAATTCATTTTAGGACAGTTCCTCACCCTCAGTCCACCTAACGTTTGATTCTTTAGCAAAGCAAATAATTCTTCCAGCTTTTTAGCTGTGGAGTTAAGCACCTTGAACACTTCCTCTACATTTTCAGCCTCTGCTGCTTTACCTACTTTCTTGCAGTGCTCCTCTAGTGATAGATTCTGAAAACAGTTTACGTTATTTCTTCCACATTCTTGGCAAAATCTTAAAAACTTTTTGGTCAGCTCTGTTGTGGTTCTGCATTTGACAGACCTCATCTTCTTCCTATGCTCTTTGCTTACATAAACTTCCATTTTTGAAGAATATCTGCATTTTCTTCCCTCAGAAAACACAGCTGTCAATGTTTATGGGTGGCACTGCCACTACCCTTATCCTTATGGCTCTGGGAGCAGGGCCCAAGTGAGGGAGATCAGTAGAAAACAGTAATCACAAGTGTCTTTCCATGGTTCTACCAGGTGGTCCACTGCATGTGACTAAAAAGCAGTAACACAGAGCACGGATCATATGGGCTAGTAATTAAGGACAAAGCTTTTACGGTGTTTATATTTACATTTTACTTGTCTTTCTTGTAATGCTAGGTACACATTTGTTAGATTTGGGAAGTGTTTTGAGAACCTCTTTCTGAATACAATGAAAGAAGAAACTTAATTCAGATTTCCTGCTCTGTCCCCTTTTCTATTTGAAAATGGTTCCAAAGCATAGCAGAGACTTTAAATTGACAATTGGTAAAGCTGGAAGGATCTACCAAGGGAGCAATCATCTCCTATGTACTATGTCCTATACTTTCATACAGCATCTCTTTGAATCTGATTATGGAAATGAGAAGGACCTCTGTTCTAACTTAGCATCATGCTTCTTATTAGTGGAGTTAAATCGTATGATTTCAATAAAGCATTGAAGAAAATGTGAAGGAAGCAAATGTAAAATATGTGTATCTATCCCAATTCTCAACCCTTTAAAGACAACTGCTGTAAGGAAGCTAACATGATCTAGACAAATGAGTAAAGCTTTGTGTCTCTGATATGTTATTGCCCTACTGTTAGTTGAAAAATAGCATTAAAGCCTTCACAACTGTTATGGGGCTAAACTAAGAGGTATCTGCATACTGCTGTGTGAAGGAGACCTACATCTGCACAAAAGAAAGAACTGCTATGGACATACAACTAAAAATTGCTTTTATAAGCATATTTATTTATTTCTCATTTTCCTGGAAGAGAGGAAGTGGTTTATCTCATTCCTGCTGTAATGAATGGCCTCCCTAGCATCCTCCCTCAGCCCTACTGTATACATAATTCTGAAAGACTTCTCTCACAGACATAATAAACATATACTTTAGCATGCTGTGACAATTAACATCCTGAATAATATCTTTGTTTTGCAGTGGTGTAGGGTAAAGGTTTTCAAAGCATTGTACAACATAGGCTATTTTCAGGGGCTTCCCACAGGCAGCTGTCAGCTGTTTGTGCAAGCTCTGACTTGCACTACGGGCAGGACCTGTAGCTCCTGCCCCAGAGCATCCCTGCTGCTGCACAGGTGCTCACCTGGCTCATGCAGCACTGGTACAGATGGAGTCATCTCATAATTCATTAGCTTTGCTTGCCACAAAGCCATCATTTTCTCAATCACTGAAGGCAGGGCAGTACTTAAATGTGGAGACAGAGAAAGTTGAGTAGAGGGACACAGAAGAGTGATTAAGGATTAAAATTGGGTGCTGGGATGAACTGGATGGTTAAAAAACAGAACTGGTGATGAATGTAGGGAATCAGGTCCTAGTTGGAGGCAAGGAAGAGCACTAATGGGGTAAGAGAAGTGAACCCATTTGCCCAATCCTGTAAATCTCCATCCTATTCACAGCAGACAGCAGTACTGACAGACCTGAACATATTTACCACCAAGCAGAAAAAGGTTTAGGACACGTAGAAACCAAGGCACTGAGCATCTACAACATCTGCCAAAATAACCTACCAAAACTGGGCTAAGGTTTTGGTGTCAAGTCAAATGACACTTGTAAATCACCCAGATGGCAAGTTAGTCAAGTCAGTATCACATCTGATAAACCATAGAAGATACTTGAGAGATTAAGAGTATTTTATTTTCTAGAAGGTCTGATTCTCTGATATATTCAGCAACTTCACGTCTTAAGATCATGGAATATAACATTATCATGCTTCATACTATAGCATCTATGCACTTTTAAGCTAAACATATTGGAGACATATAGTGCCTCACTTGCCTATACTGCATTATAGGGAGCCACTGGACCGAAGGAGATTTCATTAAATGTTCCTAATTTATTCTGCCTCATTGCTCTTTTGTAAACAGGACGGGTCACTAGAGAGCAAGGCATTTAATCCAAAAAGAGGGTTGTGGGTGGATATGCAACTTCAACATACTACATGCCAAGGTAAGATTCTTCATTAGTCATTGAAATCCTGCAGAAGTGACAAGATAGAAGTGTTTGTTTACAGGCTAGAGCACAGCATTCTCCAAAGCATTCACTCTTTCACAACCTCCCCTTGAAAAGGTTTTGGACAGCCAATAAGAGCATGGTTTAAATCCCAATCTAGGTCAGAGGGAAATTTTCAACCATATTTTGGTGTCTGACTTTGTGGTTTCTCTTTTTGCCTTTCTTTTTGATCAAGGTGACAGGAACATTTTATTCATTTTTACCGGAAAGCAGCAAAGGTAATGATTAATCCATTCTGCAAGAAAAAAAGAAGAGTTCTGGTTGTAAACTTACTGGTATTATCTAGCCAGTAAAAATAGAAGTGTACTCAGAGAAGACACAGGGTGGAAAACTCATGATGAATTGTTAGGGCATGTTGAGTTGGTTCTGTCAATGCCTGCAGTCAGATGATTTCACTGGCTGTACAAGATGATATCTCATATTTCAATGTATAAGTAAAAGTGTCAAAGTTCAGCTGAAGCAGGGACAAATACAGAACAAAATTTGTGTGTGTTTGTAACTAGGGCACCAGAGCAATAGAGGAAGCCAAAATGAGCCGGAAAAGCAAAAGGAGTTTAAAGGAGAAATTTGCCTTGAAGAACAGCTTGGTTAAAGAAGCCCTCTCAGAATTCCTGGGAACTTTTATACTGATAGTAAGTGTCAGCTGCTTTCCTTTCTTCCTACTAATCTAATGCTGGGCAGCGCTTGTAAGGGGACATGTTTCTTGTACTGTACCAGCAGCGTGGTTACTGCCTGACAAACATTGTACAGCCTTGAATGAACTGCTTCTATTTATGGTAAGTTTGTAATTCCTTTCTTCATCTGATGTAATTACTACTGGCTATTAAAACCAGATAGCTTTATTTATTATAATTGTCTAATAAGCATTTGATTTCATCTAGGAGCAAAATTTCAGTGAGCTACCACATTGTGAAAATTCAAAATACGCACAATGAATGTTAATAATATTCTTGCTTTTGTTTTGAAAAAGCTCAGCAGTTTATTCTAGTTCCAATTCTGTGCACAACTTCCATGTGCTTTAACAAATATATTGTATTTCATATTAAGAGAATTTTAGCCAAGTTATTTTCCCATGCAATATAGAAAGTTAGCTGTGTGATTTGCAGTGAATTTATTGAAGTTGCACTGCCAAACATTCAGAGGTGTTTTTTTTTAACTGTACTACATAAATCATACAGTTGCCTGGTCCTGTAGTACAGCTACAGTTTAGGTAAATACCAAAATTCCTCATTTTCATATACTCAAGATTTATTTTTACTTAATTTCTTGCTCAATTTTTCTGTGTATTTTGCAACGGGACACAGAGCTTTTCCCTGCGATTTACCAGGGTAGAGAGCAGATTCAGTAGCAGAGTTGGAAGTCGAGCAGCTAGAGTATGCCAAACTCTTTCTTCCTCCCTTCAGTCTGAACAAAACAGTGTTGCTTATTGCTAAATATTTCATAGTGAGAGGAAAAAGGAAATAAAAAGAAGCAGGCATAGCACTGGCAGTGTATTTTACAACTGTAACTATATTTTAGCTAAATTTCAAGTAAGTCATCTAAAAAATTTCAGTACCTCATAAAATACATGAAAATAATGGTCTTTACTACACTTCAGCCAACTGAAGTGCACAGGCACTAAATTAACATTATTCTCAAATATAATACCATCCATAAGACATCATTACAGTAAGAAGCACATTTAGAAGCAAGGAGAACAAAGCACTTTACAAACATTAATGAATTAAGTGTCACAACACCCCGGTAAGGAGGGGAAATGTCATTATCTTCATTTGATATATTAGCAAACCTGATTACAGAAGACTGCACAGGAAGCCTGCAGCAGAACTCTGAATATAACCCAGATCACCTGACTTCCAGTACTCTGTCCTCGACGCAAGATCATCCTCCTCTGTCCATTAATACAATTAAGCAAGTAAAGAAAACATATTAAAGTTCAGATTAGACCACAAATGCTATTATTTAATGTCCTGCTGCACAAGACTAGAAGGAAATGCAAACCGAGAGCCCATCTAGTATATTCACCACACAAATGTAGTAGAAAATGAAGCTATAAAATTGTTGTTGACAATCCAAGTTCCTCAATTCTGGTTTACCCTTTCCAGTTTCAACCTTGGTTTAAAACAGAGAAGAGCCTCACATGGATTAAAAAGTAATCTTTTCAGTGCTTGGGTATCTCAATTTATGTTTAGACTGCACAAGTTAGTGGCAGTACAAAACATTTACTGTGAATGAACTGACTTTTCTGCTGTTACTTACTGCTATTGCTTTCAGGCTCTGTCAGCTAGGAAGTAGTTTCTCTTTAAGAACAGATAAATATTAAACCCTTAACTTAGATTGGAGCTAATGAAAAGGGCACCTGGTAAGTCAGAGAGCAGAAATCCTTGAAAAACAGATGCTGTGTATGCAAAAGAAGTGGTACTTTTCTTCCACCATCCTATTACTATGTCTTACTTCTGTTACAAAGTGAAAGTGAGACCAGAGTCCACAGCTTACAGCACAGTTGAATCAGATCTTCACTGAAATCCATTTTATGCCACTGTGATAGGTTTTATAGCCTGTGGGGAGCACCCATGCCAGGGAGCAAGGCAAGGATGAGCCTTTCTATTACCAACAGAGTATGTCTGGAAGTCAATGCTAACTGACCATACCTAATTTTGTCACCAGCCTAGCACCTCTGGAAGTTAGCTGGGTCTAATACTGTTAATAGCATGTGGTCTGTGATGTTGAGTAGAGCTTGAACTTTGAATGCTCGGAAACTCAAACCTTGCAACATTATTGCCCCAAACTGGAAAATGCAGAAACTTTAAGATTAATTTCAGGATATATAGAAAATGAAATCAGTCACTTGAGGCAAACCTCAAGCCTTCACCTGTGTGTGAGGAGGACTCTGCCTGCTATCTTAAACAGACTTGAGACAACAGGCCTGGAGAAAGTCAGCGTGTATACAGTTTGGGTAGCATTTCTTGGTCATCCCTACTTAATATGCTGTGGTTTGCCTTGCAGCATGGTTTCAGAGCACATAAACTGAATTATTTTCAGAAGAAACTAAAGTGGAAGGTGAGATCCAGAATCACAGCAAATGTACTGACCATTAATGGATACTCAGTTCAGTGGATCAGACTGGAGATGCTCCCAAGTAATCCCTGCTGAGATGTCACAGTCAGGTTATCTGAACCAGCTGCTTGCACTGCACAACCTGACAATACAGATAATGTGTGTGATCCTCTCTTTCTGCTTACCAAAGCACCTGGCTTCAACCCCTGAGGGTTCAATGAGAAACACTAAACCCTAGGAACCTGGAAGTGCCCTGCTGTATAGGCAGATCTGATGGTATACAGAGCAGCTGCTGTTACCACCTGCCTGGGTAATCCTGCTGGTGAGTAGGCTATTTTGCTTAGACATATTCTGCTGGGAAAGAAGGATTTCTTTCAGCATGAATCCTCCCCAAGCATAGCACAGCTTCCCTAATTACACTCTGGTACAAGAACCAGGGCAGAAACCCCAAAATATAGAGTCCATAACCAGATGCAAATTGCATGTAAGTTTGGTTACAATGAGCTTTGGATACTGTGTTCACTTTATAATGTTCTATCAACCTGAAAAAATGTTACACTTCACCTCTTACGTGATTTCTATGAAACAAATGGAGCAATGCAGTTTTAACATCACTAGGTTATATCTGCAGTACAGGCAACAAGGAGCACACATTATGCTGGGTATTTGCAAATTATCTGTGAGCTTCTGCCCCTTTCTTGTATTAACTTTGGTGATGTCACGTGGCAAACCCCCAACCTGCAAAGTTTAATTGTACCATTTGTAGTTTAGAATAAATATATAAAAAAAACCCAACAAACAAAAAACCCCACAACAATCTACCCATAGAGTTTTCAATAAACATTTGAAAACAGTACAACTATTCTATAGAGTAATGTATACACAGTGTGTTTGGAAACAACTTGTGGGACTGGTTCCCCCAACCACCCCCCCCCCCACCCCCCCCCCGGCTATACCTAGGCAATAGGTTCCTGAGGTGGGAGCACACCCACCCGTTTGGCTCATGGTGTCTCAGCGGCCACTGCACACACACATTTCCCAGCCTCTGACATAGCCTCAGCCTGTATCTGGGGCTGCCTGAGGCCACCTTGTGAAAGAGCTCTCTGGAGAGCTTTTTGTTCTCCAGCATGGCTCCTGGCTCAGTGCATTTCCTCTTGGGGCTCCTCTGGGGGATAACATCTGGGTGCCAGGCACAGGAGTGTCAGGAAGCCATGCTGCATCAGGCAGATGGTTTATGTGAATTTTCAGTGGGCCTGCCTGCAACTCACCTATTCAACTGCCTCTCTGCTTTTAATCCTCCTTCTCTCCATATTTCCACTTTGGAATTTGGCTGCATTGCTCTCAAACAAAACAGGATTTACTCTGGCTTATGCCATTAAGTGTATCCAAAAAAAAGAGATGCCAAATTGGCCATGTGGCTTCCTTTACCACTTCTGCTCACCTGTTTATTTCATTGTCTCTCTTAAGAGCATCTTACCAAACACAGTTTCCCAGAAAGAAGCTGCACAGGAGCCAGTGTCTCCTGAGCCCAGAGCAGTGCATGCTTTCTTGTTGAAACAGAGCATGGGCTTCCAGTTAGCGTGTAAAGACAGGTGGGTAATGTAAGTATTCCTTTCCTAAAGCTTAGTCTCCAGCTGGAGGTGGGGAGCCTCTTGCGAAACTCCCACTGAAGCAAATGTTTGTTTGTGTGTCTAAAGGTGCAGTGCTTGAGCATGAAACAAATGCATGACACCACATATTGCAAATAATTCAACTAATGAGAAGGAAGGATATTTATCTTTTGCTCATCAAAACCTTTTTATCTTGTTTTCATATTCTGACCACTTAGTTTTGCAAGTACCACTCCTGCTTTGTTGTGGAGTTCAGGTGTTGCCTGCAAAATCTTTTAAATATGACATTCCATGGATTTGCCTAGTCTAGAAGACTAAAATTTACGCAACTTTTCCATATCTTTTCATGGCCTTACATTCCAGTGCATGTTAATTACAATACGGCACAGTAATATAGCATGCATTAGAATCCTCATTACGCAATGTTACTACATGAAAGCAAATGTAGCTTTTGATAACTCATTCCTTAAATAAGTGTTTAGTGTTTAATACAAAATTAACACTAAGTAGTTTTAAAAAAAGATAAATTCCCTGTTCTGAGTTTTTGTGAAAGGAAGATTCTGCATAGGATGAAATTGCTTAAACGAGTTTTGTTTAAGGTAGAAAACTGAATGGCAGCAGTTTGACAGCTACCTTGTTTGCCGTCAGCAATGAACTTCCTGGAGTACAGAATCTTATATAATTAACAGTGAACTTAAGTTTGTCAAAACTAGATAAAAAAGGTTATTAAAACTTAAATTGGTATTTTGATAAGCCACTCAACAGCTTTTTAAATATTATGTAATGCTACAAATGAGCAGTGTCTACCCTCAACTCTCACTTAACCACAGGGTTCCAGCATGCTGGAATTACTTTTCCAAGATCTTTTTCTGTAGATACGTTCCCCCCTCCCCAGAAAGTTTGCATCTATAGGGCTGAAGTTTGAGGCTCAGATAGAAGTCCCTACAGGACACTTGCATCCTTCCAACATTCAACTGCAAGGGCACAACCACAAACAATCCTCTTCCACTTGTGTTTTAGACACAAATTTACAGAGTGCTTTTTCAGGGTTTGCCAAATAAAAAAAGATAATACAAGTAATAATTTTTAAAACTGACAAACAGTTGAGGAACAGAATAAAAGATAGTAAATGCAGTTCATGCCATACAGAGAGTTTATATCAAACCAGTTCAATAAACCATTCTGGATAAAAGAGAATTCTTGTGAGCTCTCCCAATCCAAGGCAAACTTAACACAGTTTCTCTAACCCAAAGGGTTCTTTACCATTAAAAGCATTCAAAGTTGTTTTTTTATCCTAACAGAAAACAGTTTAGGAAGAGAACATGCTGAGGCTTTAATTACCCATAACCATGCACCTCCAACTGCAAGGACACAGCAAAGATCCCACCACCCTGTTCCTGCACCCAAAGGAAAGAGTAAAACAAGCTACATGTACCCTTACACTCCTAAGAGACAGAAAATCTTACTTCCCAGAAACTGCTGTGCCCGCTCCTGCACTCTTTCTGAATAGTACAGATAATTCCCCAAGCACTGCTACAGAGACTAAATACATTTTAAGAGTACAGGAAGATTTTAGTCTTTTCAGTTGGTGTAGGAAGCAAAGCAGAGAGGCACACCTCAACTCAAGAATAAATGAGTAACCTGGGAGGGAAGCATCACTTGAATAGGCTCTGTCTCTCCTCAAGACAGTAGGTAAGAATTTCTTCCCTTGTCTAGCCATTTCTTCCTAGCCCCTTTGTAAGGGGGTATGTTTCACTCCTGAAAGTTTGTCTGAATATGAAATGTTTCATTTCCTTTCTCTCCTGAATTTCTACAACATAGTAAGAAAATAATCTTCACTGTAGAAGCTGACTCAAATCAGTTGCCCTATAGAATTCAGGAAAGAAAAGCACTTTAGCATTTCAGGATGAAGAGTGCAATATTAATCATAATAAAATATGAGAGAATACAGACCTTTGCATTCTCTCTAGGTGATTTCAAACTTTTATATATCTCTATTGCATGTGCAAAAGGAATAATAAAAATCTAAGAGTGTCAGCTTATATACCACAGCATAGTCTGTGCCTCAATATTTTCACTGTATTTTTCCCACAGAGCAATTTGAGCCTGATCTTTATGTGTGCCTTAAAAGCTTTATATACACAATTCATCCAAAACATTACTAAATCTACATTCTTGTCTCCAAGAAGTAATGCTGTCTGTCATTAAAAAATGGTTTCAAAAGGGAAATCCCATTTGAACCCCAGAGGGTATTGGTTATATCCCACTAGATCATCAGGAGAATGGATATAGTGATTTTTTATTACTTCAAGTTTGATTAAATCATAATGTACAGAAATCCTCCCATCCCCACCAAAATATTTAACTAATGATAAAGTAAGAGGCATATGCTTTTAAAGTATTCAACAGCCACATGACTGGTAAACTGTATTTTAATCTCACCTAAAAATCTTATGTACTGATTTAACAAAAGACAGCAAATATTAAACATGAAATTAGATGAAGATTGCTCTTTCCTGGAAGAACAGGAGCTTCCTGCAAATTGAAAGCTTGCACATTCAATTCATTCAGCTACAGGCCTGAATTTTCATACATCTAACACATTGCTGTTAGTCTTACCATCCCTATTGAAAGTTAGTCTTACCATCCCTATTGAAAGCGTGTTCAGGAGCCCAGTCTGAACCAAGGCCCTACATAATACACAAACACAGCAAAAATATGGCTCTGTATGGAAAGAGTTTCTAATCCTTTATAAAATACCTTATTATGAAATGCAATAGATTATTTAAAAAACAAGTCTGCTTCAGAATTTAAGAGGTTGGAAATGAAAGCAAGTTCTAAAACACACTCCAAATTAAAGACCTTTAGGAGGACACCATCAATTTAGAAATTGCATCATATCTGAAAAGTTTACTTACTACTTTTATAGGCAACACTCAAACTAACTGTATACGGGAATGTTAAGGGGGAGCAGGGGAAACTGTAAAAGGCTAGAGTCAATCACAAATAACTTCTAATGCTTTCATGGGCAATTTTGGTTAGAGATCCCTACCTGCAGTGAAGGGAGAACGATCACTTCTCCCAGTCTCCAAGGGACTTTCTGACTCTTCCTACCCCTATTCCTGATTTTAAGGGCACAAATAGGCCATTTAAAGTCTGGCTGCTTGGAGAAGTCATAGAGGTTTGCCTAGGAAGTGAACTACTAGGGCAGACTTGGAACAGGTGGCTTCAGGATAGCAGGACACTCACTGCAAGCACGCAGCTGGAGCCTAATTCACTGCACTGCTCCTGAGAGCCCATCCCCTTCCCAGCACTGCGCAGGAACATAAGCACACGTGGCAGAGTCCAGAGCAGTACCGCAGGGCTGTCCAGTGTGAAATGGGAGCAGGCAATGGGCTAGCAGGAAATGCCTGTCTGGGGAACAGTAGGACAACACAGGTGGGAGCGTGACATGGGAAAGGGGTAGGGTTGCTGCCTTACCTGAACAAAGGCATCCTCACAAAATTGTACATTGGTGGAGGGAGTCCTGAAAACTGACTGAAATGAGAATTCTGAACTGGTTTTCTAGGATTTCCCAATTGAAATTGTACAGCTTATAATTATTTTTTTGGTAACTGCTGATTCTGTATTCCATTTAGCACCCTGAGTTCTTGTATTCATGTAGAGCATCATCCAGTTGTGCAGCCATTGAGGCCATATCTGCCTGCAGGGACATCTGTGGTACCCTCATCACAACTTGACAGCTGGTGAAGTACAAGATTTAACAAAAAACTTGTCATTGTCTCCACTCTGCTAAAAAGCAGATATGACTGCTTCTGTAATGTTTAAGTGTATGGCTATGAGTGCCCACTACCACCAGATCTGTTTGATCAGAAGGGGCCTTTTTTTATATATAAGAATTCTGCTTTAAGATGTCTAAAGCTTTATAGGCCATGTAGGAAAATAAATTACCTAAAATTCTGGATTCCAATCTGGCAGGAAATCCTATTTACACTAAAAATGCTATTACAAGCATTTACAAAAATCCTGAAAATAGCACAAATGGAAGCAAAATGATCTTTAGATGCTCTGATGAATGTGGTAGACATAAAATTCTGTAAGCTTTCAGGGAGTAACAGGACATTATGCTCATTGGAGGCCAGTTGTTTTCCTTTCCTAACATTATCCTTGTTACACAAGACAAAAAAAAGGCTCTAATGTGTACAAAGCAAGAATTTTTGGCAGGGAATGTGCAGACAGCTATTCCACACCCAAACGTGTTATTTGTGACAGTAATATCATTACTTTGTGAACAAAAGTCAGTACTGAAGCTATTCTAGTCAATTTAAGCAGGTCAGGCTATAGACAACTGATAAGATGAAAACCTAGTAACGTAAGATATGATAAAGAGATCTGGTTATATTCTCCTGTAAATTAAATTCCCACTGATTCCTTGTGCTTCATTCGATGAACTTGTGTGGGTGCAGCTGATGGTTGAGCTTGGCCTAGAAACTTAGAATATTTAGTTACAACTTGATGATCTAGTCAGTCTTAACTCAGACAAGCAAAGATTCACAGGGTATTATATTGCTGCTCCTGTAATTACATGATTAGGTGATAGTTTCCAGTTATGTCAACCTAGATACAGTAGGTATGAGAAAACTTTTTTCTCTTCTTAAAAATGACAGCAGATGAAGAAAATATTAGTGTCACATGGTTCAGATTTATAGGCTCAGTTCCCACTTTCCCCATCCCAAAATGGGCACACTCTGACTGGACCTGCAATAGTGTTCATGAGCAGGCAGTCACCAACATCCACCAAGTAAGAAGCCAGCACAGCTGTGTTTGAGCTGACTTGCTTGCTTTCTTGTTTGTAGACTGAGCTTTCTGAGGCTAGTTAAACACAAAAACGGAGCGTCTGTAGTTGCATATTTCCCTATGACATGCAGAGCAGAAGCTATTATGCAACAGTGATACACAGCTATTTCTGTACAATTCTCCTCAGTTCTGGCAATTAGGGAAGGGAGGCCAGAGCCTCCCTCTTGTTATTTCCTTCCCTCTTCTTGTGAACTTGTAGTTGATACACACAGATGTTATTGTCCCTTACCCTTTTTTATACCCATCTCCCCTATCCCTGTTTCTTATAACATCCTTAGTAATACTTTCAAAAGAACATCCTTTTCTTTGTATCTGCAAAACTGTCTATGCCATTTTAGAACACAAGCGCATGCTTGCGGATCTAACTGCTTGCCTGAATGCAGGCTGCATCTCAGTGTACACAGTGCATATGTCATCCTCTGCACAGCAGTTGACTGCAGCTGGGCATATGTCTTGCAACTTTCAACTATACAGTCCAATAAACTACTGCTATCTACCACCACCCTACCTTTACTTAACCTGACAGATGTAACACTTTGGCACCAGCCAGTGCTTTGTTTGCTTGCATAACTATAACCTCAAGGCAAGAACTGCACCTGGGTATACGACACAGTCTTGGGGCACTCTTATAACAGCAACTCTGTCTGCATTGCTGGTTAAGAGCATAATTTTATTGAGGGCTTTTCTGTCACATTTTGGTGTTAGTTAAAACCCTTGGGGAAACGCCCTTGGAAACAAAAATATGACACCCCCCCCCCCAATTTAAATTGCATTTATTCTAGCAGGACTTGCTTGTTAAACCTCAATCACCAAACCTTTTTGATACAGTCTATCTCTAAGGCAGGAGAGATCTTCCCATTACTTTGCAGTTTCTGAATGCAACTACCTTGCAACTGAAAATAAGCATTTCTAAATGAACTAGATTTTCGGTATTCAAATATGCAGTTAGAAAGAATATTTGTGACACAGGCATTGGTGACAAGCAGTGTTTGGCAGTAATGGCAGAATACTAAAGCAAAGCAAGGAGATTAACCAAAGCAATTACACAGGCTAAGATGGAACGACTTTATAAGAAGAAAGAAAATCAGATTCCCATGTACCATCAAATTATATATAAAAATGTATCTCCGATTTAACATCAAAGTGGAATAAGGTTCAGGATAAATCTAGTCCCATACCAGAATTGCCCCAGTACAATTCAGATCACTTACAGTTGCAAAGAAGCAAAGGTTTTCTGACTACAGATATTTGATATCTTCCACAGAGTGCTGGGTCCTTCAACAAAGCACTTAGGCATAAATTTAAAAAGGAGATTTTCAAAGACACAAACTGATTTCTGGCAGAAAACGATCAGCTAGTCTATCTTAAACTAAAGGCTTTTGGAACTCTGAAAATCTTTCCTACCAACTTTAATAGGACCTAAACGCACACTTGAAGCTAAGCAGAAGCTTTAGAACAGAATAAACGTGATCTTAAGCATACATTTAAATGTGTTGCTGAATTTAATTCTGAGAACCAACATAAAATAGAAGCTAGTTTAAATCCACTGAGAATACTCCAGTGTGAATTACTCAGGTATCCCCACTTCAATTAATTGTTCAAGCTACAGAGACAGTGAAATATTTTGATAAAGCAATATATGATATCAAGGCAGCATAACATTAACACACACTCTAATTTCCAGACAGTTGTCTCCTTCCAGAGTTTCAGCATTAAACATCAGAAGCTTTCTGAACGGTATTTCATAACTTGTATAGTAATTTTTCATTGCTTATAACAATCTGGAAACAAAAACTTACCACACAGAATTAATTCCTTCTTCACTTTCAGATACGGAGATTTGTTGTAGAAGCTGTGAGGTCCTGTTTAGGCTCCGAGCTCTGATCTGTATCCCATCATTGTACTTGAACTCTCTTTTCCGGGGAAGACAGAGGTCCCTACAAGCAAACATGGTCACAGAGCAGGGGAAAAAGAGGAACTGTTCATTGGAGCAAAGGCAACAATGGCACACATGCGACTAATCTCACATTCTAGCACGGTTTTAATATTTAACAACATTTTCAGCTATATCTGGACAGCAACAGAAGTTGCAAACTAACCAACAACATTTGACAGACACACTCATGGTTTTATATTTCTCTTTCAAAATATAGATGCTTGGATGCGGGTGTGTGGGCCAGGCTGTCCTTAGCCGAGGAGTCCACGGTGGGCCTATGACGGTATCGGTTGGATTCGCAATGGCAGTCACCGTAGCAGTGTATGTGTCTGGGGGAGTTTCTGGTAAGTGACAGTTTTTTCCTTATATAACATTTATTGCCACAGTTTTAAGGCTATGTTATTAAATGACTTACATTTCTTGGTATAAACATTTATGTATTTAGCAATAGCAAGAGAGTCTGCATCAGAATTTTGCTCATAAATCTTTTGTGTTCTTGTTTCCTTCTATTCTTTGCATTTGACAAAATCTTCCACCAAATTCTGATCTAAACTACAGTGTGCGAAATTGGCACATGTCTGGCTTGTACGGAAAATAGTCTGTGCAAGCCAGAAATCTGCTTGGTCTTGCTTTGAATAGAGTGATCCTGGACAGGATAGGCACTGCATTTAAGGAAATAACCATGAAAAGCTTACAGAATCCAGTAATCAGCTAAAATGGCTGCCAGCTTTGAAGAACATAGAATAACCTACTAATGAGTATAACAAGCAGAGTTCACCTTACAGCAGGCAATCTCTTCCTTTCATATGACTGGGCAATAGCAAGTCTGCTCCTGTCTGTTTGCTGATTCAGAGAGCAGCAGACCACAGAAAGCAGAAAAGGCAAAAAATACTGAGTACTAGGGATAAACTCTGGTGCGCTGTCAACGTACTGTCATTGGCCCTTTCCTTCTGCTGTATTATTTCCTCAATGTATATTGGTCAGGAACCTTTCTTTTGTCTGTAGCTAGGATAACTGATCAGTATCTACACGTGCCATATTGAATGATGCTTATTCTCCTATTTCCACCATTCAGATTAGCCAAATTAATATCAGAAACATTAGCATAACTGGTTTTAACATTTAAATTCTCCCTTTAAAATAGAAAATGATGGGTTGTGTATGTATTATACAGTGTTATGCATTATAATACATACTAATGTATTATGTATACAGTGTTCTGTATTATAATAGTGTTATGCATTACATAGTAATACTACAGTGTTATGTGTTATAATAGACAATACTCCATGTTGTATGTGGAATTTGTATTACTCTCTTATAGCAAATGGTGCCCTTGTACTCCAGCTTTCATAGAGGCATTTCTTACCCTTCATAAGGAAGGTAAAGCAGATCTGGGCAGACATCTTTAGGTATAAATAGGCCATTATAAATAGTTGCTATAGCAGAAATCAGTGTGGCCATTCCTCCTCTCTTTTACAAATTCTTTTACAAAGGCACTGTGCACAAGGAAATTTACGCTCACTTTAAAGTGCTCAAGGTACTGAGAAACAGGCAGTCATGTTCCTGTCAGTGAAACAGAGCAGAATGGTTCCTTAATACAACATTAAGTTAATTCCTGTTACCTGAACATCTCTAAACTGCAATACTAAACTACAACTCTTCTAATGCAGTATCATGAAAAAAAAACCCAAACCTGTATAGACACTAACCTGCCCTACATTTGCATCTGTAAGGGATATTAATCTCCATTATACAGAAGATTAAGAGTTCAATCCCAGAAGGGCAGAGCAGTTGTAGATGTTGCAGTATTGCACTTCCTGTGCTTTTCCCATGACAAAGGATTCTGCAGACAGTGCATTTTCTCTGCAAAAGAATAGCAACAGATATTTCAACAGGCTGTGATTATCTAGCATATGATTACTAGTGGACATTTCAGAATATCAGTTGCTATACAGAATTTGTTAGCAAATTCTGTGGCTTTTTGGTCATGATGTTTCATGTTTAAGTCTTGCTAAAATAGTTTGCATCAGTTCTTTATGGTAATATAAAATATATAGGCTGCACCCTTGGTGATTTTGAGCTCTTATCTAAGAAAATTTCCCTTTTTTGTTTTTCTCCATCTAATCTTCTGTGTCTAGATCACTGTGATCACCAAAGCTACAAAAGAATTCAGGAACATGCTATTCAAAGTGTTTCGGCTCTTTTTTAAACCAGGACACTATCAATGGCACAAGAACCAAGACTCTTTTTAACTCTCCTATGTCAGCATATTTGGCCTTCAACTAGACTTTTCCTTTCCAGATGCATTGTTAATTAGATATCTCTAATATTATTATGTCTTGTCCTGGCCATCATAATCACCAGGTATTATATACAGGTGGGGAACAGTATCAGGTGTTGAAAGAAAGGAAGATGATTAATTCCAGGCAGAGTTAAGAACAAAAGACAAGACAACAGCTCATCAAATTTCACAAGGGGCTGTTAAATAAGGTGCCAGCCATCTATTTGCTCTGTGCTGAAGAATTTGAAATACAGTGAGGAATTCAAAATTAATTCAGGACTGATGCTACTAGGTCAGAATTTTGGAAGTGATACAAAGAAGGTTTTATCCAGTTTGTTATCTGTGTTTGTCAGTTCATTATGTATCAAAGGTGCCTGGATTTCATAATATAATGACTCGCTGACCTGAAGTGCAAACAAACACAGAAACTGTACATAGAGGCCCTTTCTCCATCAGTAGCCTTTGACAGACAAAGGTCACACTCTTTTAGATATTTTATTAAAGAAAAAGGCTAATTTTTTTTCCCAATAACCATGAGGCCAAAGTGAGACTTTACCTGGAAGGAAAGCAATGGATCTGCTATGTTCTTGCAAAACTTAGGGTTTACTGTATTTTTCTTTGGAGTATTGTTCCATCTGTTTATTTGGCAATTTGCATTTCTTAAATATCGACTTCATATATATATATATATATATACATAAAAAAGGCATTCAACACTTTTTTCTGTGTTGATAAAAGATGTTGAAGGAAGTGACTAGCACATGACATAACAATAAATGCATTACTGAAACTAAAATTGTCACAAAGAATGACAGTATTACTGAAATCTTCTCCATGTGTGAGTTTAGATGTAGCTAGTCCTAAATACCACAGGACATAAAATTCTGTTTCAGCACAAGTACTTTATCAGTTTTCTTATCATGGACCTTTCTGGAGGGTGTAAGAGCTTGATGAAAACACGTGATGAAGAACTACACACTGCTGTCCCCAGATCCTATCTAGACACAGGTCACCAACAGTCAACATGAAGCTGGACAGTCCTGACATTGTTTTATATTAATGAAAACTGACTTCCTAAGTAACCCCTGGTTGAAGACAGGGTCATAAGCATGACTTAAATCCAAGGTACTCCAGATCCGCCTCAAGATACATGATCAAGCCAGTAATAGTCCTTAATCTTAATACATGCTCTCTAAACTGAATGAATGTTCTGCTGCCACAATCCTCCCTTAAAGAAAAAAAGCCAAAGACTTAAGGAGAGAGAATATGTGCAGAATGGTGGACCCATCACAACCAATAGGGCAGACTTAGGCTTTTTCTAGAAGAGTTGTCTATAGATTATATAGTGCAGGACAGCAGTTTGATAAATAGGACAGTCTGCAGACATTAAGAGGGAAGCTAGATCTTGGTGGCTTTCCTCCTCTTCCCTGTAATTTGTTTCAGTTTAACTGCAGTCAGGCTATAATTGCAAAACAATAGCTAGAAAAGCATATACTAGTCTCATGCTCAAAAGCATCTATGTTTTCACAAATCCTTCACCTATTCTCATGTATCCGAGTCATCCATATGACTTATTTTGTGATTCATTTTTCAGGTGGTCACATAAACCCAGCCGTTTCATTAGCCATGTGCGTGACTGGAAGATTAAGATGGACCAAATTACCAATTTACATATTAGCACAACTCCTGGGAGCATTCTCTGGAGCAGCGGCTGTCTTTGGGATTTATTATGGTGAGTACACCTTAGACATGCTCACAGGACAAACTAGAGGTCAGGCAGTCTCTAAGGCCCCAATTTCTCAATGAATACCAAGCAGGCACGGAACTGCTCACACAGGGCTAATGGCCAGATTGAAGCTAAAGCCATAAAGAAAAAAAAAAAGGAAGAAGTATGAAGAGTTGGTGCAGGGGGGAGGCTCAAACATTCCAGGTATCCTGCAACTTTTGTGAAACATTAATAATTCAGGAAATGTTCTGAAATTTAGAAAAATTATTCATGGGAAATCAGATACTTTGAGATCATGTATTTCTCAGTAAGAATTTTAAATTACTTAATAGCCAGGATATAGGGCTATTCATCTTCCAAGCAAATTAGAAACATTAAAGACCTGATCCAAGTGCCTGTAGGCAAGTATCACCAACATTGTTCACTGAGGTTACAGGATATGAGATCAAGTCCCCCCTGACTAAATGTCAGGCCACCCTAGAGAGATAGCTCTCCAAGGCAATGAACTCCAGTTACAGTGGTAAAGGGGTCATGTATTAGAAGGGAACAAAAGAAGGGGGGGGAAGTTACCCCTATTCTTGAGGCTGTTGATTTTATACAGCGTGCCACAGAAGGAAAAAACATAGTGACCAACTCCCTGACTTGATGAGTCCACACAGTTGGATCAATCAGTTGCTTCAACTACCTCCTCCAAAACTATGCTTATACTGACCCAGCCCATCTCCTCCAAGGCCTCTCTCTGATGGGCATTATGTCTGAGCAACAGAGGAAAAATGACAATGGAAACGCCCATTGTGTATCAGCTAGGTACTCAGTGCCAGCACTAACCATGAACAGAAAAACCTTTAGGAAATGAGGGAACTGTTTAAGTGGTCTGAGTTTGATGGCGGTTTTGTTAGTTTATTTGGGATTTGGAATGGGGAGAAAGGTTTTTTTTTTTTTTAAGGTTAGCGTTAGAATTTGGGATTCCAGAACAGGATTTTCTAGAGCCCTCCTCAAGCTAGACAGCCAAGTTTAGGGCTGCAGCCATGACACAGCAGTACATCAACATGACGTATGGTTGGAGGTAAATTCACTGCGTTCTGCTAAAGGGTAGCAGTAGGATAGGGAGCCAAGATCAGGAACTTTAGGGCTAGGGTTAGAAACTTCTTGTTAGTCAGGAGTGCTGGATCTTCTCATACCCCTATCTCTGATCAAGACCAACACTGCCCTTCTCTTGTTCCTATTAATTCCCAAACCTCTTCAGTACTTTTCCTTCTTGCAACTTGTAAGAAGAGTGTCATGCACTTTATCAAGGTCCACTGAAAATTCATGGGTAGAAAAAGGCATAGGAGCTCAAAACTTCCATGTTCCCCATACACAGATATTTGAGCTAGGTGCTTTCATTTTCAGCAGTGTGCCTGAAAGAGTGAGGAAATACACACGCTTAACTACTGAACATGAGGCTTTTCTAAACGTGTACAAAAGTAATTCACAGTTGAGACATTTTCTTTTCCTTATTTTTTCCCCTAATAGTTCAATGCAACAAGATAATCTGACACTGCAAACGAAAGAGCCTGACCAACCAAGTAAACAACTAAATGTTCCCTGCACCCATGTCATGGCCTTAAGTAAAATTAGAAAAAACAGGGGCAGGGAGAAATAGATTTTCCCGTTAGCTTCAAGAGAAGCTAACTGTGCTTACTATGGTACGTGTGAAGCTATTTCTTCACTCACAAGTATCACCTCATCAATGGATCCACTAGTGAAATACAGGCATAGTGTTTGTTATTCATGTCTGCCTATGCAGATTTTAGGGTGCTTCTTCTTAATGTCTTCCTAACATTTCAGAGCTTGCCAAGGCAGCAAATTATTCTGACACAGAAGTCATATTATTGAAATACACTGTAAATATACTAATATAAAGATACATGTATTTAAAATATCTATAAAAATACACTCAGAACTGAGGATTTGGGGGTAGCATCTCTCCTCACACCTCGGATGATGAGCATAGCAGGGTGTAAGGCCCACACAGTGAAAAAGAGGAGGTCTCTCAGGACAGTTCATTCCCAGAAGCCATTGTTGCTCAGCTGTCAAATGGAATAGTAGTAATTCCTGGTAGCTGGGAATCCACAACAGTACAAAGAGGATGGATGCATTTTGGGAGGGCATCGTGTCAAATACAGCACCTCTTACCAGAGTAATGCAACTGTGTTCAGAATCGGAAAACGCTCCTTGCCACTGAGTTTGGAACAATGAGGAGAGGAAACAACAGCCACATTTAGAAAGCTGTGATACATAAAAGAAGTACTTCAAGGCACAGGAGGAGAGATGAGACAGGAGGGTATAATTAGTGCATCACGTCAAATCTGTTAACTATACTCCCAGAAAAAACAACTAGTTTCAGCAGAGAATATGAAATACATAGACCTATCACATCCACTCTAGTTCTAGAAAACCTAATGCTCATGGAGAAGTGTAACCAGGTAATGGCTGTTTTCTATAGATGCCTTTATGGAATATAGCAATGGAACACTTGAAGTCATAGGACCTAACGCAACAGCACATATCTTTGCAACATATCCAGCTCCATATCTGTCCCTCATAAATGGATTTGCAGATCAGGTAAGTGCACTTACTCTCGAGTCCACAAAATAAACATACTGAGAACTGTAAAACCAAGCAGTAAGAAACAATACACAGATCTCTAACAGGTATGATGAATCTCCCTGTTTTACTTGTATGTCACTGTGTACAATAGCAATGATAATGCAGTGCTCTTCGCAGGGGTCACATTTGAGTCATATTTTACAAGCGAGATAATTCAAGTTGTTCTTTCCATATACATCATATTAATTTTTGCACTCTGCATGTCTTTAATGCAATATGTGAAAGAGGTTTTCCCCAGAATAAATCAATGTTTCTCCATAAACTTCAGCAGAGCTACATCCATTTACATCAAAATCCAGTCCATTTTGTTGACCTGTTATTCCCTACGTAAAGCTTAAGCAGTCAGTTTAACACACCTTGAACAAGTGAGTTTTCTGCTACCACAAGCCTCCTCTTCAACTATCACTTTGCAAACAGATTTGTATTATTTGGTTTGTTTTGAAATGACTGAATCTGAAAATATTTCCCCCCTTATTTCCAGTCTGTATCCTCTAATGCCACTTATCCAACAGGGGGAAAAAAAATACGAAGTTTTGTATCTTCTATCTACTTCTAAACAATTTACCTGCCCTCTTCAGACATACACGTGAATACCACATAAGTAAATACGAAGAACTAGGGATAGCTGGAGCACAGGAATTTCTCGCATAAAGGACTTGAAGACTGTGCAGTCTGGCTTCAAAAAAATGCCAACGTTGTTTTGAAATTTTGTGAGAAGGACAGTTCTGATCCCTGGATAAGCCAACAGCCTTTTCTGTGAGAGCTTTTTACCCACGGATGGTTTACAATAAAATTAAAAGCAGCTGAAATAATAATAAAAACCCCAAACGCAAGCTTCTTTAAATCAGTACAGAAATTAAATGCTTTGACATGGCTGAAACTTTTGTCTGCTTCCCCCTAAGTTAATTATTAGCAAAATCGATATTTACAAAGCATTTAAGCAAAGCAGCACGTCCATCAAAGTAATGCCAAAAAAATTTCCTGTATCAGCTCAATTAGCATCCACAATACACAGTTCATGTTACAGTTACATGTGCAACCTTAATTTAGGTAATTCCTAATGTTTTAGCTGCTTGGTTTTGACTTTGCAGACTTCACTTTTTCCTTACTTTATGCAGTATCTGGATAAAGTGGTGCATACTTAGTATAAATCAGCAGTGTAAGCTATGGTCACATGAAACACTTTGATATCAATGTAACTGATTTCATCAGCATAGCAGAACTACCGAAAGTCACACAAATGGAACTGTTAATTTCATAGGGAAACAAAACCTAGAAACAAAGCATCAGATGTCACACAGGAGAGACAAGGTTCTTGCCTCTCCCCCCCTTCCCCTCAATGTCCTCAGCACATTTCTGATCTTTTTCTTTCAGTACACATACCAAAACCTCTCCTTACCATGAAGTAGAGGGGCACAGGGTTCCAAATTTTGCTACTCTGTATACCGGGGTCAATCTGAATACTAGGTCTAAGCCACCACAATCCACTGAGCTGCCATAGCCCCTCTTTTCATTATTGGAAGGAATCTGCACATATTCATTCAATATTTTTTTCTTTGCATTGGGCAGGTGATATCAACAGCTGTTCTTCTTCTGGCTATATTTGCTATTTTTGACAGCAGAAATAACAGTGTACCTAAGGGCCTGGAGCCAATTGCAGTAGGACTTCTTATAATTGTTCTTACTTGCTCCTTGGGAATGAACAGTGGCTGTGCCATGAACCCAGCCAGGGACCTAGGCCCAAGGCTCTTCACAGCCATTGCAGGATGGGGGATGGAAGTATTCACGTAAGTATGCCTGGATATGAAGTGAAACGCTTTTGGCTAAAATTGCTTCCTAAGAAAGCAAGATCCTGATTCAACATGGTACCAAGTCATACTTTATATACATATAGGTAATTCTTTGCATACCAGAAAAAGCTATTCATGCACTTTAAGCCAGACATCTTCTAGGAACTGGGCTTTATAAAGGATTTCCTGCTCCTAAGGCAAATGAAACATGCATTATCTCTAGTATCAATCACTGTTCCAAGCAGACCCTTCCCAACATATTAGAGATTCTTAGAGGTCACTAAAAATGTAAGAGTGCATTCTTCTCTTGTCCTGCAGCTTTCAGAAAGAAAACATAATAATCATCATGGGGAGTTAGGTGGAAGTATTTATTGGGTGCTGTAAAAAACACAGACATATCAGATTGATTTAGCCTATTATTACTACTGAGTTACTGCAGAAATATACAACAACCTAAAAGCCTGACTTCCTGCCTGGGAGCAAATGAGTGAATAAAAGAAAGCTCCCTTCATTTTCCCACATTTCAGAGCACACTCTCAAATCCCTGTGCATGGATGTGTGCACGCACGCACTCTTGGCTGGCCAAACACACAGCTAATTAGTTGCACATCAAATCCACAGCTTACACATATCCAGTGTAAGAGGCACTCTGGGATATCCAAGTCAGAGTACTCTGTCATCAGGAGGTAGAACTTTTGGTTTATTTTTGTATGGTTTGTTTTTCCAGTTATTTACAAGTAGGAATCCCCAGAAGTACTGTAGACCACTAGAGAGCTCTGGTTAATAGAGATTTCATTTTAGCTACTTCACCAAATACAAATAAGCTGTATTTATTTAGTATGACTTTTATCTACATCAATCACTTGCCTTAGTAGAGGAGAGCAGCAAGGCTTTTCTCATACAAAGAAAAGCCAGGCACAGCACAGCAGAAATGGGCACACAGCCATGCCATAGGTCAGAGCCAAAGCTTGGCTATAACACAGCTGCAGCAGGAGGTCAGCTCACCAGCCCACTCACCTCCAAACTTCCTCCCTGGCAGCTCTCTCTCCACTGTATCATTAAACTGCACTATTTAACAAATATCAGCACACAGAGTGACATTCCACACTTGGGATTCTCCGCTCTCATGCCTAAATAGTCATTAACTATCATGTTAATTATAGTGTCATGTGTGTAATCTGTGAAGTGAACTATTACATTGCTGAAAAGGTTGGAAGCCTGATTGTACTGTGGTCAAGTCAGAGAATACCTGTGAACTTCCCTCCTCCCCAAGAGTAATTTAAATTACTCATTTAAATTTAAGAAGTTACAAGAAAACTCCACATCTGTACCAACACATACGTGCTCGTCCCTAATTTAGTTTTAGGATTTACATACAGAGAGGAAATGCATCCCATCCCTACGTAAAGACCATACCAGAAAATTTTAAAATGGGAGCATAAAAAAAAAAAAAAGAGAGAGATTAAATCTCAGGTCATTGCCAGAATAAATTTACAGCAGTCTCAGGGGTGTATAAATTGAGGAAGAAGCCTCCCTCCCTGCCTTCAGTTATAAGGCTACAGCTATAACCAAGTTCAAGAGAATGCTACAACAGGATTAGGTAGCTGGAAGCTCTGGAACAGTTACAGGCCATGGGAGAAGTTTGACTGATTGTAGCTATGATCCTGAACTGCCTGATGTTCTGCTGGCGTTACATATGCATGATAGACTGAAGTGATGCAGCCACAGTTGACAGCTTGACCTTGGTTGTCTCAGCTTAACTGGAATTCACAACCTTAAGACAGGTGCTCAAGCTGCCAAGTAAAAGGCATGCTCAGGAAGTGGGACCTAAGCATGAAACATCCACAGTGATACAAGGGGAGTGCTGCACAAACCAAGCACTAGGAAGTACTCAAAAGACATTGAATATACATTGGTGTGAAACTGGAAACATCTCACAAGGCTGACTGAGTCAATCTGTCCAGGTCAGTGAGTGCCCTGAGTGCTGCCTACAGGGCAGCCAGGGACCACCAGGAAAGCCTCACTTTGGAACAGATCAGATAGAGAAGCATCAGATTCTCTACATTCTCTAACGCTCTAAACATTGAGATAATCAGTTCACAGGGGGAAAATCCCCTCTATCCTTCTTCGTGCTTGCAGGTTCAGTAAATACTGGTTTTATCATGTTTTTAGGCAGGGAACAGTGACTAGACCATAGGGAAGCTCTTCTGCTGGAGCACGGAGTTGTCCAGAGCACAAGGAGGCAGTTGAGCTGGGTTTTTCTAAATGTTCCTGTTAAGACATTTTGCACAAAGGCACCTACTTGAAGGAGCAGTTTCCCTGAGAATCCGGCCAGGGAACACAGCCTGTGGCATGGTTTCCATAGCCAGAGCAACTGCATTCATTTTGGTTAAGAGCTCTCATTAGAATCTGTTCTGACCCATTGCAGCTGGAAAGGCAATGTCTGACCAGCACCCTAAAGAGCACCATTTTGCATATAATAGATGTAGTTAACACTGTGGCCAGTTCCTACAAAGTGTTCCTCAACCTGTTGAGAGTAGGTGTCACAGATATTTCTAATGATGAGGCCAGTTCCCAAACATTGACTTTAGAGACCTAAATGTTTCTAATTATTTGCTCTAAAACTACAGAGATACTTAGAAATCTCTTAATCACATGCTTAATATTCTAGGAAGCTTAAGAGAAGTTGTTGGAATAGCAGTTTTGTCTGTAGTGAGAAAACAGCCAGAGCTTTGAGTAGAAAATACCAGGCTGGATTTTGACAGGCATAAGAGAACATGAAACAGCAATGAGCAAGTGAGAAACGGCTCCACAGAACTGTCAGCATTTGAGGCTAGCCATAGAATGTCTCATCCCCAGTTTATTAGGGGTGCTGTAGCCCCTTTGCCGGAGCCGGGTTGGACCCGCACTGGCAGAAGTGCGGCATCGTGCAGACCGTGCTGCGAGCGGCCCCGCGGCGGGCAAAGCCCGGCAGCCGCCGGCGCGGTAACGCTGACACCTCGTGGCCGCGGCTCCGGGCATCAGCGGCCCGGACTAGAGGGAGCTGCACTTTGGAAAGGGTTGGGACAAGCACCTATTGTCTGCACAGGCAACAGACAGACTGGCAAAGCGGCCTCTGAAATACGCTGCATCCTTCCCGGACGGTCGAACGGTAGCCAGGCACCTTCCACATTGCGGAATGTCTGAATTATCTTGTCATTTCTTATAGCAAATAATGTTATCTCACCATCCTGCAGCAGTTGGCTAAGTGAGACATGTATTTGCAAGTCTAAAACGGGCCAAAGTTCTCAGCCCATGAAGCTTACACACTATAGTTTCCTAGAAATTGTGGCAGTTCAGCCAAGTGCCACTTGCCAGGCCCGTGCACAGCCCCCAGCCCTTCACAACCAGCTCTCTCCTGCTCCACCCATGATGGAAAAACACCCGATGATGAAAAAGGCATAGCTGGATGTTTTCCTGCTAACTCAGCAGCAAAGCTGTGAGCTTGGGCAAATCAAGGGTGTAAGGGACCTAAGGTTACTTCCAGGAAGCTATCTGTGCTTGCCACAAAGAGCTCTTGCTCCTGTGTCAATGAAAGGGCATTATGTGTCAAGGAAACTCATAGCTGTGTCCTGATCTCATTTCAGCTTTGGCATCACCCTCCGTAAGGACTTTACACCCATCATCTTAGCAGAGGGCATCTGTAGTGCAGCTGACAGCAGCTGCTGCAAATACAGGCCATGACTTGGAGGTTATGCCGGAGCCAACAAGGCACATGCCAGTTCATGGGACAAGCAGAGATAAAAACCTGCCAAGAAACACCTTCATTGTATGCCCACATACACATATGGGCACAGAGAAACACATGCAAATACATGATTGTAGATTCTGTTGTGCTGAGTAAGTCGATAAAACCTTAGTCCATGCTTGTTCCAGAAATGCAGGGGCTCAACAGACATTTATGACTCAACAACAAACAGATCTATAAACTCAGTAGAACAATATGAAGAGCTATTTTATATCCTCAAGGCAAAATATAAGTAATTCCAAAGGCAAGACATACACATCTAAAGCATTTCTGAACAAGGAATGACATTAGCATCAATAGGGCACTGTGATATTAATCGTGTTCTATTCTTGTGTTGTGAATTAACCACAAGTTCACTTATGCATAAATCTATACAACTGAGTGCTGAATAATCATTTTTACAATTTAAAACCTCTCCTGGAATTTTAAAAGTTCCTCTCTCAGATGAATTTGTATCTCTGTATTTCTGGGATAAAAAGTTATTTCTCCATTTTCAATATGCATGAAATTGAGGTGGCTGGGTTTTCACTGCAGACTCACATATTCAATTAATACAGCATGTTATCAAATCAAAACACCTTCACTCATCAGTACAGTTAAGAAAGGTTGTGCTCTGAAACCAATACTCAGTAATTTACTGTCTGAATGCGGACCTCTGGGAAAGAGAGGGCAAGTCTACAAGCCCAAATCTCCTGTATAGAGGCTGTTACTTTTTGTTTTATACTGTTTAGTGGTGGACTTGTTTCTTTAAATGTTCATAAAGCTACACATTTAAAAATTAAATCTTAGTAATTGTGCAAAGGGCATGTAAACAGTTCAGTGGAGCCAGTATGCCAGACTTGCTTCCCAAACACAGCGACTGTAAAAAAGAGTAAGTTTTAGGTGTATGAAACTTCTAAATGCTTATTTATCTCTTACTGAAAGACCTATTTCAAACACAGAGATAAGACAGAACATAATGAAATTTGTATCTTGACCACTCTAACCAAGTATAATCCACTTTACAGTCACTGTGTTTTATTGCATTCCTTAAGGCAAATATACTCAAAATCAGGTATAATCTATCATACTTGTCAAGAGGAAGACTGTATATACTATTGCAGTAGATCTCCATGCAGATGACATAAACCATTTTTGCAACATACATTTGCATTAATCACTCCTGAAAACCTATTCATGAGCATCTGGCAACAGCATCAGTCAAGGTTGCTGTGCAATAGGTATGTCCCTGTTCATTTCACTGCAAGTCAATGAAGCTCATTTTCCACAAGGGAGAAATTATCCCCTGCCCCCAAAGCACACACGCAGTGGAGAGGCCTGATTTTCTAAGCTGGGAGTACAGCATGTAGACCACCATGCCTGGTGGTTGGTACTTAGCATTTCAATCACAGCATGGGCAGGACAGACAGGAACGTCATCCTTATACAGAAAGTGAGACTAAACAGTATAGCCAGTGTAGGCCAGTATAGCCATGCGACACAGTATAGCCAGTGTCAGGACACTCTATTTTTTTCACTGCCAAATATAAGGTAGGGCACTCACTAGAGTAACAAAGAACAGTAATTTTCTTTTTTAATTCTTTGTTTTATTTTTTTTCCTTACAGGGCTGGAAATAATTGGTGGTGGGTCCCTACAGTTGCACCTATGCTGGGAGGCATACTTGGAGCAGTGATCTATATTGTTTTTATTGAAATTCATCACTCAGATACTGAGCAAGGAGAAGAAAATGACATGCATGATAAATACGAACTGACCAACATGGAGTAAGAAGTGAAGCATTTCCTTTCCCATTTTGTTATGCATTTTTTTATGCAAATGATTGTTTGGACCATTTTATAAAACCTTTATGCCTGAATCAGAAATTCACATTTCAAAGGAGAAAATCCATATAGAAGTCAAGTTCACAGCTGAACTCTTCCCATGAAACATCAGGCTGACCACATTCAAAACTGAGAACTTGGGTCCAGAATGAGTAAACTGTTCCGTTTCATATGGCTTTCAGATCAAATTATCTCCTAGATGAAACTAGTGAGACTACGTACTGACCTGTTAATTCCACACATGATCTTAATCATGTTGCCTAATTACCTGAAAATAGATGAGCTATTGTTACAAAACTGCATGCAGATTAGTCAGTTCAGTACTGAATTAATGGGCAAGAGCATTACTCACTTCTTATAGCCATTATTTAAGAATGGCTTATCTGAAAATTAAAAATAATACCTTAACGTCAATTGAAGTAGTTTTAAATAACTTACTAAATTTTTATGGAGCCACTAATTGAACAGCAAGGAATGAACTCATCAGTTATGAGGTTTAGTAACTCAGAATATGATCACAAAAGGTAGAAGTTGTGTTATAAGATCAACACCAAAGAGACAAAGCTGTAGTTCTGCACATGTTCTTCATAGCAGTCATATTCAACTATTTTTAAACCATTTACTTGACCTTTATGCTAGCCAATATTAAAAACCCAACCTAGAATATTAACCCAAACCTCTTCTGCTGTTCTTTCTGGATAAAATTCATTCCTGTGGAGAAGCGCCAGCAACAGAAGCTTATCCTGCTCAGAGGTCAGCACAAGGCCTGTCTGTATACGCCTTAAAGAGGACTGCTGCTGCTGATTTCCGGGGGGGTGTGTGTGTGTCAGGGAGGATTTAATCTGCTTTGTGGGAGTGATTTTTATTTTGATAGCAGTAATTAAAATTAGAAAGTGATCTCGGAACTAGTCCCAGATCTGAAGTCCCCAGGGAAGGCCAGCTCCACATGTTCTGAAGTATGGGCTCTCTCTCACTAAAACTAAAGTGAAGTGGTTGGACATACACCACTTCCTAAATATCCAGCCTTGAAAAAGGAATTTATTTCTGCTTAATCATTGTGAATTGAATGTATCCAATTATATCAAAGTCCATTTCTAATATATATTCATATATATGAGAAGGTGACAAGGCTGATAATGAATAAATAGGCATCCTATTCAGGGCTGCTCCTGAGCTATTTTCATGGCAAAAGTACCAGTTCAATGCACTCATTTTAGGGTGTTCTTCCCTTTGTAGTCCTTCAACTCTACTTTCTAGAATTCCACACTATTTTCTCATTTCACTCCTGAAGGGAGGAACCCTTCATGTTGCCAGTAACAGCCTGTGCTCTTTGGTGAAACATCCTCAGAAGCGGCTTGGGAAATGCTGTGGTCAGAATCTGCCTCAGCATTTGGGCAGATCAGGCCTATGTCACTGCATGTCTTTATTGTGCTCTCATGTATGCCTTCCTTCATGGCAGTGAAGGGACAGAATGAGCAGGTCAAGCAAAGCTTTGCCTGCTGCAGCAGAATGTCAGATGATGCTGTATACTTGAGGGAGTGTAATTCTAACTTTGTTTTTGAAGAAACTCAGGTTGCCCAGAGACCATATCAACCCTGTGCAAAATTCTCATTTGATTCAGCATTTCTCTGCTGTGGGTTAATGACTCACATAGCTATTCCCATCCATGTTTGACTGCATCGTGTCATTATTTGGAGAGCCACAGTAACAAGAAAGCAGGGTTCACAGAATCAATCCTCAACATGAGCAGAGACAAATGCAGGAGAATCAAAAGCACAGTGTGGAAATTATTCCTGACTGTAGACTTTATATTGGCAGCATAGTCACCACTGTCCATCTGGCCTGTATGTTGATAAATTGTACTACATAAAATAAGACGGTGTGTGAAAGCAATTGCAGAAGAAGCCTCCTTTTGCTCTCCCTTGCAACAAGTGCTGTCCTTCAGCCCTTGGTGATACCTGGCAGAAGCACTCCCAGGTGGCTGCCAACCATCTGTGCCTGGAGGGGGATTACATAGGCAGGAAGAGTCAGAGGTCTGCCCCCAGGTCAAAACACACTCTTCCACTGACACCATCTAATATGAAATACCTGTGCAGAAAATAGACAGCTGATTAACCAGAAGTGACAGATTTTGTCCAAAATGGTAGGGGCAGGTTATCTCTTATTGTGCTAGAAATTTGCAGTAGGCTGCATATGCTGCACAATGTTGCTTCCTTTAATATACCATGGAAAACATGGGGAAAAGCAGAATACAGGTCAGGAATGAGAAAGGGACAGTTTATTTATACAACCTAATGAATGACCAGCCCGCACGTGCTGTGTGTCTGTGCATTAGCCAATGTAAAGACAAGCTGCATATTTTCTCAAAATTCTCCTGATCACAACAGGTTCTGCCTGTTAATCAACGTGAAATCTTGTTTCTCCTACTTATACCATTCCTGTGCATTGAGTTTCTCTATAAGTGATATTTACTTACCTGAAATTACCAACATGCAAATTGTAAGGAGTGAAGTGCTAGCATGCAAGCATAGGAATATCTAAAATATGCTCTCAACAAATTGTCAATTTCATTTTTGCTTTAAGAACTTATTTTTAAAACTTATTTAATCATTCAATATGCTCGTAAATTCTCTCAAGATGTGTGGCACTAATACCACAGTTCATACTGACTTTACAAAAGCCAGAATTCACTCAGGGACAAGGTGTGATGGACCTGTCTCACATTTGACATAATTTACATTTGCAAGTATAAGAATTAATTCCTGCTTTGGGGACAAAACTCAATTGAGTCTTAACTACAGAACTAGTATCTCCATAACATAAGTGAACAATAATAGACATCTCATGCCTTACACAGACATCATGATCTGTTTTGTGAAAAAAAAGTATTTTTACTTTGCATAAACTGTAATTTACTAATATCAAGTGATATTTAGTGGTTGCGTTCATACTGAATTAGTATAATACAGTTGGCAACAAGAAACATGTTTTACAGCTGTAAGATGTTCTAAGTAAAGAGTCAGTTGTAATCACTTGAAATGCTGCAAACTTAAGCAACAATTATTGCTTAACTTTCTGTCTGGGTTTGTTCTTTTTTTCGGGCAGTGTGCTTGTTCTTTAGTGCTATTCTTTGTGCTGAAGTAATGCAGACAGTGCTCCTACAAATAGTACTGAGCTAAGGTTGGTTACTTCATGTTGCCTCATCAAAGCCAGTGGAATTACTCACAACAGGATGCAATAGAGGGAAGGATAAGTGCTAAGAGGATTGAGCTCAGTGGATGGTGGAAACTGTACTTTCTCATAGTTCTGACTGTGGATCTGGATGAATGTGTTGTGGTTCAAAATAAATACAGTCAATCCCTAGTAAATGCATTCCAGTACTATTTTTATATTTAAAAAGTCTCCCCTCTGGCACCTAAGGACATATTAAGAAATAAATAGCTGCCTATTACGGCCTACAATTTTTTATAGCTTTGTGCTGGAAGAACACATTGACTAACAAGCTGTATTCCCAGCATGGAGACCCTGTGGCAGATTTCGTAGGTCAGAAGAAGTGCCAAAGCAGAGAAATGCTCACACTTGAGTAATGGCCACTGCTGGGCCAGGAAGCACCCATGCCAAAAGCTAGAAGGCCAGACCCCTCAACTCTAGACCTTCTGTTCCTGTCTATGGACACTTTCTGCCACAGCTTTCCACCACTCCTATGACAGTCAGCACCTAGGTAGGATGTTTTGCCTAGAGCTTCTCTTCAGGGATTACTTTTAAGGCATGCATATATCACACAAGATTTGGCCTTCAGCGCTTACAAAATGTCCCAAGCTAATTTAGCTATCTTCTGCTCTACAGATTTGTAAAAGGGACATGCTTTGCGTATTTCATTTAAAAAAAAAAACAAACAAAACAAAACCGACAGGAAAACCTGTTCTGTGGGCACAAGGGGATGAGGGGAGAAGGAAAGAACAGGAGCTTCAAACTTACAGAAAAGAAAAACCAAACAAAACCAAACCCCAAAACCTAACAACCTCCCTCCATCCCTAGGACTCTCACCTTCCTATCAGTCTGATTTTCTGTTCTCCTTTCTCCTACCAACACCGTGTGCTGTGCTGGCTCTATACAGTACAATAGTTCTCCAGAGATCTGAATACAGCATGCTTTTCCCAGTTACTTCTGAATCTTAGAAAGTTCTCATGAGAGCAAATTCCAGTTTCACCTCACATGCTTGGTTTTTGGCAGTTACTTGCATTTTTTCCCCACTGTTCCCACCAAACAACCTTGTGCTGGAAAATACAACAATTAACTGTAACTTCCAGTAACAGATGCTCTTTTTCTGTTTAGTACAATTGTTGCTGCATAACATATTACTTCTTTCGGGCATGTACAATTTTTAAAGCCTTCCTTTTTAAAACCACTATTAAAAATAGAACAAGATCATCCAGAAAAAAAGCATTCTGTGCACATCAGTCAGTACTTTGGATTTTTATCTTCTAGTTTGCATTTACAGCTTGTTAAAAAAATAATGATTATGCTGTGAATGTTAGCGTCTTTCTGCATATTTGCACACTTTAATGATATTGTCTCAGAGAAGAGAGTAGCAGGCAAATATTTTTAGCCACAGATGTTTCACTGTATATTTCAATCAGATATTAAAGAAATCCATATAGTGTGAACCTAGACATGACACATTTATGTCACTTTTTCTTAGCTGACTATAGCTGTCCTTCAGAAGGTGTTTCAAAGATGGGGAGCATGAATAATCCAGCACTTTAAATCAGCTATGATAAAGCTTTCTGGCCAGATGATGCAATCAGCTCCTTTTCCATGACATTAGTAGAGGACAGACTAATACGTTCCTTCATTGCTTCCCTACCTAGGGACTGAGCAGTCTGCTTTAAATTATTAGAAATCAAGCTTCAGAACCATAGAATGGTTAGGGTTGGAAAAGACCTTAAGACCACCTAGTTACAGCCCCCCTGCTATAGGCAGGGACACTTCACCTTTTAACACTTTAACACTCTGAACATTGCTTCAACTATCCAGAAATCAATCAGGAGGTAGGATCCTCCTGTAACTACACTGAGAAATAAAGCAATTAAGAATGAAGAGAGAAAACTTCGAGAGCTGGTAAAACAATACAAGCCCTCTTAGGCAGAGGTCAGCCAAAAGCCTGGTTGATAAATGTTTGGTTACTTCAGAAAAGAGTGTACATTTTACTGGGAAACACGGAAATAAAGCCAATAGTATTAAGTAACACCATCAGAAAATGGTCTTTTTGTTCACCTGTCAGAAAACTCATCTGTCTTGGATGCAAATTCTCACATTTTCAGTATCAACAAGAGAACTGGTATAGGCACATTAATACTAGTATTTCCTCAGTATTAGGTACATAATAATCTAATAAGTGAAGAACACTTTCACACCCTCAGAAATAACAGTACTTCATTGCACTGCACAACTCTTCTCAGGAAACCTTGCCTGCCTTCCAGTTATTAACAGGGCTCTGAATGAAAAGGCAACAAAGCAAAAAATATGGGAACACTTGAAAAGTCAGCATCTGAATAGAAGGAAATGAACAATCTCAGCCAGAACAGAACAGATGCAACACTTTCTGTGGTATGACCGAGGCATCAAATAACAAACATGAAGCCAAAGAGGCAGCACATGCTTGGCAAC